AGTGGCCGTCGCCTCACTTCCGGGAGCGCCTGGGCGCCGCGCCCGCTTTCTGTGCGCGGCGCAGCCTGCCGGCCAGCCCCGAACTCACACGCGAACGAGCGCGCGGCCAGGCCGGAGCCCCCCGCGCTCGCCGCCCGGGCAGCTCCCTGCGGCCATGGGGGCGTCCGCGCGGCTGCTGCGCGCGGTGATCATGGGGGCGCCGGGCTCGGGCAAGGGCACCGTGTCGTCGCGCATCACCAAGCACTTCGCGCTGAAGCACCTCTCCAGCGGGGACCTGCTCCGAGACAACATGCTTCGGGGCACAGGTGGGAGCCGGAGCCGGAGCCGGAAGGCTGGCGGTGCGCCGTCGCCGGGGCCGGGATTTGCGGGCGGGGTTGCGGATCTGGGGAAAGTGGGGCCCCGGGATGCGGGGTCGGGGGTGCGGGTCCCGGGATGCGGGTTCCCGGATGCAGGTCCAGGGATGCGGACGCGGCATCCCCCTCCCGCCGCCCAGGGGAGAGACCTTAGGCACCTGAGCAATTGCGCCCCGAAAGCTCCAGCCTCCGGGGCAGCTTTGGGCGGGTTATTGGGGGAAAAGACTCGAGAGTTAGGACAAGTTCGAAGTTCATAGTTTAAAGTGAACTGCTTGGCTTTGTTTGAGAAGCACGTCCAGGTCCAGTCGCTGCTGCTCGCTTAGGAACACGTGCCCTTCCACCTGGAGAACTGAAGTTTGACCTGAAGGGTTTGCTCTTCCTTTTTTTTTTTTTTGGTTGAACTCTGGGATTTTCCGGATCCACCCTTTCTCCCATAATCTGAAGGCCGGCTATTTGTGCTCGTTGCAATAACAAAATTGGCTTAGATCTTTGATACCCCAGAGATTTCTTAGGAAAGCTATTCTTGTGCGTAGTTATCTGAAAGACTGTTTTATTTCTCATACCATATAAATTCTAATAACTCAGCACCAAATCCAGTCAACAAACTCTATACTTTACAATGGATGAATTTTATGTTAAGCAAATTATATCTTGAGAAAGCTGTTATGTTTTAAAATTTTTCTAAAAAGGATTTTAAAATATTTTTCTTAAAGTAATTTCTACACCCATCATAGGACTTGAACTCACCACCAGGAGATCCGAGATCGAGTCTCACGCTCTACCGACTGAGCCAACCAGGGCCCCAAGAAAGCTGCTTTTAAAAAGTCAACTGTAAGATGAGGTTTTTTTCCTCAAAGGTGTTGACCTTTATTTTCCAAAACAGAACTCATTTTGAGCCTCCTTTTAAAAAATTTTAGAAGTAATGCCTGCACAAGGTAAAAAAAGGATCGGAAAAAGGACAGAAATACATGTAATGAAAAGTAAAGCCCTCTCTCCTTCCCTGCCGCAGTCCAGTTCTTCACAGGGGAACAGGACCTTGTGTTTCCTTTTAGAAATGTGTATTTGTGTACAGACACACGAGTATCTAGCCCTTACTTTATGCAGTATGCAATCATACTATGGATGTATTCTGCACCAGCGAGTTTTCACTTTATATCTAGGATATTTTTCCACATCAGAACATAAAAATCCATCTCATTCTGTTCATGCTTGTATAGGTATCTGTTTTGCTGAACCTAGATGTTTCTAGGTGGGGTTTTTGTCTGTTTCAGAATGTGAGTGAAAAAAAGAACCACCTCGATGTTTTTAGTTTGTCTCAAGGAGTCTGGCAAATGACTGCTTTTATTTTTCTCTTCTAGCATTGATCTTTTAGGAAACATACAGTGTATAGTGTTTTGTGGTCAGTTAACACTTCTTCAAAAGGTTAAATTGTTTGGCCTGCTTGCTAAATGTACTTCATGCAACATACTTAAGTAGTTAGGTAACAGTGAACAGCCTCTAACCGGGCACCTGGTGGGGGTAAGGTTATCCAGAGTGGGAAGGCATAAGGGAGTCTCTGAAAGATAACTATCACTGTGTGGTTAAAGAACACTTTCGGCAGCGAGTTAAGGTTCCATTGATTTGTGAAAACATAAAGCATTTTTAAAAATTAAATTGAAAGCCAATGAAGTAAACTTTTTTCAAAATTAAGAAACAATGTTCTGTTTAGCCTTAACATCCCGGGACAGGCCCACTGTTCTCTTTCTGGCTCCATGTGGAGAAAGGAAGGCAGGAGGCAGGGGTGGGAGCATCCCTTGGAAGAAAGTCCAGCTTGCCTCAGGTGCCTGCTCATCTTTAAAAGGTCATTAAAAACAGCATTTCTTTAACAAAGAAAACAGAAAATGGAGCTTAGGGAGATGTCAGGAGATTGTTATTACAGATGTTCTTCTGTATCTCAGGACTAAGAATATATTCTCAAATATTTTTCTCTTCTCTCTCTCTTTTTTTTTTTTTAAGTGGGATTGGATATTTCCTACAGGATCAGAGCCAAAAAAGAGATGTAGTCTTTTATTAAAAATTACAGTTTCATATTTTCTGATACTAAAAGTAAAGTATATTTATTATAAAGGAAGAAAAACATGTCATGAGAATATAAAAAAGAGAATTAAAATCTGCATAATTCCACCACCCGGAAACAGTTACAGTTAACCCTTTAGTGTCTTATGTGCTTTTTTCTTTGTTTTTTACTCTGTTGCATCTGTATGTATTTGCAAAATTGTTGCATTCGAAATGATTGCTCATATACCTTTTTTCTCACTTATTGGGAGCATGTCCACACACCACGAGGCAGTCTTAAAAATGATATTTAATTTTTTTATTTATACATTTTTTTAAAGATTTTATTTATTTGACACAGAGAGAGCGCATGTGCACACAAGCAGGGGGAGGGGCAGGCAGAGCGAGAGGGAGAAGCAGACTCCCCGCTGAGCAGGGAGCCCCATGAGGGACTCAATCCCAGGATCATGACCTGAGCTGAAGGCGGACGCTTCACTGAACCATCCAGGCGCCCCGAAAATGATATTTAATTTTAACCTTTTCCTATCATTGGACATTTATGTTGTTAACCATTCTTTGCTATAATAAATACTGTTATGCCTCTTTGTTCATGAACACTTGGCAGCATCTCTGCTCATTTCCTTCCAATATGAAATCCTTAGCGTGGAATTTCTATAAATGTGGTCCTGTCAAATAGTGCTGGGAAGGAGGGCACCAGTTTACTCTCAAACCACTATTTCATCAGGGTGCTGTGTTTTGTAACCTGGAGCTGTATTTGTTAGCTAAGGTTTAAAATCAACGCAGAGGATGTGACAAGGACACTGGACACATGAGGCCACCTGCTGGCAGGAGCAGATGTGGAGTAAGGGTGGCCAGCCCTGACCCCGGAGTCAAGAGGCTGGAGCCTGACCCTTAGACATTAGGCCAGCCCTCTGGCTTAAAGATAAGCAACTGAGTGCAGGAGAGGTTGCAGAACTCACTCAATTACAAACAGCAGTTACGGGGAGACAAGAGTGAACACCCAGGTCTCCTTGAGCACCAGTTAGACACTTTCCCTGATGCAGTGTTGATGGTCAAGAGATCATTTTAAGTGGACATAGTTTTTTAATCTATTTATTTCAAAGGATATTTGAAAAGCAACAAACACACCAACCCTTTATTTTTATGAACATGGTAATTCATTAATTTGAAAAGCTGGGTCGCTTTGAAGAAAGTTATGCGGTAAGTAATAGTCCAGCTGTGGCAGAAATTGTGAGGTTGCCATGGGATTGCCCAAAGTTTGAGAAACTGCCTTGTGGCTTAGTGCTTCTCAAAGACGGAACCCTGCACTAGATGGCTGATCCTTTTGAATGTCCTTTGTGCTCATCTGTATGTTGGGGAAACTGAACTCAGTAGAAAATCTTCAAAGTCTCTGTCAGCTCCCAAGATTCCCTAACAAAACTTTAATCATATACATCTGTGCAGCATAAGCACCCCTAATTAGAATGATTTTGACGGTAGCGCAAATTATTTTTGTAATGGCAAAAAACCCCAAAACCCTAATTTATAGGAGGCAATATATTTACATGGTTTGGAATTCCAAAAAATGTAAAAGGGCATTTAGTGAAAAGATCCTTCTAGAGCTATTTCATGTATATACAACCAAATGTTTACCTGTTCTTCCCTTGTTTGTTATTTCTTACACAAATGACAGCAAATTGTAATACTGTTCTGTACCTTTCATAATAGTGCTTTTCATAAGGATTGCCTCATTTTTAACAGCTTTATTGAGATCTAATATACCATATATTTTACCCATTTAAAGTTAAGATTTTATGTATTTATTTTACAGAGACACAGCGAGAGAGGGAACACAAGCAGGGGGAGTGGGAGAGGGAGAAGCAGGCTTCCCTCGCAGCAGGGAGCCTGATGAGGGGCTCGATCCCAGGACCCTGCGATCAGGACCTGAGCTGAAGGCAGTTGCTTAACGACTGAGCCACCCAGTCACCCCTAAAGTTTACAATTTAAGGGACTTTAGTATATGCACAGAGTTGTGCAACCATTAACACAGTCAATTTTAGAACATTTTCATTACCCCCCAAAGAGACCTCATACTCATTAGCAGTCACTCCTGTCCCCCTCCCTCCCACCCCACCCCCCAATCTGAGCCCCTGGCAACTCTGATCTACTTTCTGCCTCTATTGATTTGCCTATTCTGAACATTTCAGACAAATGGACTCATACAATATGTGGTCTTCTGTGTCTGGCTTCTTTCACTTAGCCTGAGGTTTTCAAGGTTCACCCATGTTGTAGTGTGTGTTGCTTCTCCATCCGTTATATTGCTGAGTGGTACTTCAAATGGATGTAGCAGATTTTATTTATCCATTCATGAGTTGGTGGACTTCAAGTTCATACACTTTGTAACATACATCAGTTTTTTTTTTTATGGCCGAATGATATAATTTTGTATAGATATATCACATTTTATTTATCCATTAATCACTTGGCAGACATTTGAGTTTCCACTTTTCAGCTATTGTGAATAATGTTGCTTTGAACACTCATGTATAAGTTTTTGTGTAGATGTCTGTTTTAATTTCTCTTGGATGTGTGTGTGTGTGTGTGTGTGTGTGTGTGTGTGTACCTTGGCATGGCATGCAATTGCTAGGTAAGATTGTAACTCTTTTTAACATTTTGAAAACTGCCACAGTATTTTTCCAGTTTGGCTACAGCATTTAAAACCCTACCAGCAACAGAGGAGGGTTTCCACTTCTCAACATTCTTGCCAACACTTGATATTATCTGTCTCTTTGATTGTAGTCATCCTGGTGAGTGTAGAATGGTATCTCATTGTGGTTTCCATTTCTATTTCCTTAATGACTAGTCATGTTGAGCATCTTTCCATGTGCTTATTGGCCACTTGTATATCTGCTTTTTGTATTCAGATCTTTTTCCCGTTTTTAAAAATGGGTTGTCTTTTTATTGTGTAAGAATTACATCTTTTATTGTTCTAAGAATTCTTTAGATATTCTATATACAAGTTACTTATCAGATACAGGATTTACAAAAATTTTCTTCCATTCAGTGGATTGTCTTTTCACTTTTGTTGTGTTCTTTGAAGCACAAAGGTTTTTAATTTTAATGAATCCAGTTCATCTATTTTTTCTTTTTCTTTTTTTAAGATTTTATTTATTTGACAGAGACACAGACAGCGAGAGAGGGAACACAAGCAGGGGGAGTGGGAGAGGGAGAAGCAGGCTTCCCGCCGAGCAGGGAGCCTGATGTGGGGCTCAATCCCAGGACCCTGGGACCATGACCTGAGCTGAAGGCAGATGCTTAAGCGCCTTCATCTATTTTTTCTTTTGTTAATTGTGCTTTTGGCTTCATGTCTAAGAAACCATTGCCTGATGAATAGTCATGAGGATTTATGCCTATGTTTTCTTTTAAGAGTTTTGTAGTTTTAGCTCTTAACTTTAGGTCTGTGATTGATATTAATTTTTATATTTGGTGTGAGGTAGAGGTCTAACTTTATTCTCTTGTGTCTGGATATTCAGTTGTCCCAGCACCATTTGTTGAAAAGACTGTTCTTCCCCCCATGGAATTGTCTTGGTATCCTCATCGAAAACCAACTGATGGTAAATGTGAGGGGTTATTTCTGGAGTCTCACTTCTGTTCCGTTAATCTATATGTCTATTTTTATGCCAGTACTGCACAGTCTTTTTTTTTTTTTTTACGATTTTATTTATTTATTCATGAGAAAGAGAGAGAGGCAGAGAGAGAAGCAGGCTCCCAAGGAGCAGGGAGCCCGATGCGGGACTCGATCCTAGGACCCTGGGATCATGACCCGAGCCGAAGGCAGACGCTCAACCATCTGAGCCACCCAGGCGCCCCAGTACTGCACAGTCTTGATTGCTGTTTTGAAATCCAAAGTGTGTGTCCTCCAACTTTGTTCTTTTTCAAGATTATTTCAGCTGTTCTGGGTCCCTTGCATTTTTCAATATGATTTTTAGGATCAGTTTCTCAGTTTCTGCAAAGACACCAGCTGGGATTTTGATAGGATTGCATTAAATCTGTTAGTCATTTTTGGAGGCTATTTCCATCTTAATATTAACTTTTCTAATCCATGAATATGAGATGTTTCTCCATTTAGTTAGGTCTTTAATTTCTTTCAACAATGTAGTTTTCAGATGGTCCGTTTTACACTTTTTAAAAATGTATTGCTAAGTTTTTTATTTGTATTTTTTGATGTAATTGTGAATGGAATTGTTTTAATTTTATTTTCAGACTGTTCAAGGCTAAATTTTTTTGTATATTGATCTTGTATCCTGCAACTTTGCTGAACTCATTAGTTCTAACAGTTTTTTAGTGGACTCTAGGATTTTCTATATAGAAGATCATCTCATCTGCATATAGAGATAGTTTTACTTCTTCCTTTCTGGGTGCCTTTCTTTTTCTGGACTAAGTGTCCTGGCTAGAATCTCTGATACAATGTTGAGCAGAAGTGGCAAGATCAAATGATCTTTTCTTAATGCTATTCTAATACTGACGAAATTAAGAACTTTTAAAATAAGCCCCATCCTCTCATTCCATTTGATGTCATTAGTTGAGGGCTTACACGAGGACTTGGTCTGAAGAGAGGTGAGCGAAGGGGCCAATCCCCGTTTTAGGGACTCAGCCTTGAAGCAGTGCAAGTTTTTACATTTTTTCCCCCAAACACTGGTGATGAGACTGACCTCTGCTTCCCCAGAGCAGTGGTCAGAGCCTGGTCAAAGCGACAGAGAGGTGCGCACACATACTAAGTATGTGCACCTTTATAGCAGGTTATTTTATTGAAAGGATTAGAAGAATCTGTACAGTAACATGATAGCAAGCACTTACACTGAGCCACTTATAAATAATGACTACTTCAAGTTCTTACTTAAAAAATAAGATAATTTCTAGTATTCTGTATGTTTTTTCTGATAGAAAATTTGCAAAATACAGAACGGTGCAGATATATTAAAAAATCACTTATATCACAGAGATGACTGCTGTTAACATGGTGTCAGTAGCTTTCTATTATTTTTTCTATCTATACATTTGCATTTATATATTTTTACGTAACGGAGAATTTGAAATAGGTATAGATCATTTTGTAACTTCTGTTTTTATCACAAAAGTTGACTGCACATTTTTGTATGACGGTGCTATCCGGACGTCCTCTCTAGGCTGGTGGTTTCCTAGGGGCCTGGAATGGGATAAAGCAAATACGCTCACTGATGGGTTTTTCCCTCCGTCCTCTGCTGTAGAAATTGGTGTGTTGGCCAAGACTTTCATTGACCAAGGGAAGCTCATCCCAGATGATGTCATGACTCGGCTGGCCCTTCATGAGCTGAGAAACCTCACCCAGTATAGCTGGCTAGTGGATGGTAAGTGGTGTTAGAGCATTTCAGCTGTCCAGAATGATGAGCGTGGACAGAGAATGAGCATTTCGTGGCTACAGACACACATCTGGTGTGGGGTCGTTGGGGGGTGGGACGCGCTGAGTGCTGCCATTCACCACCCTGAGGCCTTGAGCCAGTCATCTTCTCTGGGCCTGCTTCTTCATCTGAGGAGAAAGACAGAAGTGGACCGCACAATTCCTATGCTCCTTTCAGATGTGACTCATTCCTTCACCCTCCTTTCAGAATATTTTATGGGGGGGGAAGGAAGGGTGGAAAGTAATTTGCAATCAGTTGTAAACTTTCTCCAGCCAGAAGTGTGGCGGGAACCTTGAGGAAAGGTTGATTTTTAGTTTTTGAAGAAACACCGATGTTTATTTTAAGGAATTGGCTCACAGGATGACGGGGGCTGACAGGTCCCGAGATATTCAGGGTGAAGACCCAGGAGAACCAACAGGTGGTCAGGCTCGTCTGAAGGCCAGCAGGCTTGAGACCCAAGAGGAGCTGGCTTCTTTCCGTTTGAGTCCCAGGCAGGAAAAAGCGGGCCTCTCAGCTCCAGGGTCATCAGGCAGGAGGAACTCCCCCTTATTGGGGGGAGGGTCAGCCCTTCCAGTCTATCCAGGCCTTCCGTGGATTAGGGGAGGCCCACCCACATCAGGGAGAACAATCTGCTTTACTCAGTCTCCTGATTTAAATGTCACTGTCACCGAAAAACAGCCTCACAGACACACCCCAAATAATGTTTGACCAGTATCCAGGAGCCCCATTGGGTCCAGTCAAGTTGACGCATAAAATTAACCAACCATCACAGTTGCCTTACAGCTGTGATCAGCCTTCCTGGTATTACTGCTTTTGTTCAGATTGTTCATCATTAATTAATTCTCTTCCTTCTTCCCCTCTCCCAACCTTCCTTTATTCTTTTTTTTTTTTTTTTTAATTTGTAAAGGTTTTCCAAGGACACTTCCACAGGCAGAAGCCCTGGATAGAGCTTATCAGGTAGACACAGTGATTAATCTGAACGTGCCCTTTGAGGTCATTAAGCAGCGTCTCACTGCTCGCTGGATTCATCCAGCCAGCGGCCGAGTCTACAACATCGAATTCAACCCTCCCAAAGCTGTGGTGAGTTGTTGTGGTGGCACAGACGGTCTCTGACTCTCTTGCCCTCCCAGATGTGTTAGGACGCCTGCTCCTGAGGGAATGTTCTCAGGTCATGAGGTGCGGTGGACGAGTCCAGTGCACTTAGCTTGTCGGTAAAGGAATCTGCAGGAACGATGGGGGTTTGTTACTCATTCAGAACCATTTACAGATTTCCTACTCTGTGCCGGGGAGTGTGTGAGGACTTGGGGTAAGAAGGATTAGTGACCGCTGTGGCTTATTTAGGGGTTACCGTTGGGATTCCCAGGCTATCGCTGAGTCATTTTGTATATATATGCAATTATTGAGAGGCTGCTTTTAGGAAGCCTTTTAACTCTAAGGACTGATACTGGAGATGACTCTGGGGTCTCAGGGCTCTGCGTTGCAATGATCTGTGTTTGGATTTGATTCTGTTTACTTAAAAGCACGCTTTTGTGCTTGGTGCTTGCATAGAGATGTCTAAAAATCACTTAACTGCTCATAAAAATATGCTTCAAAGATGAGATGTTTGATCCCAGCCTCTTGTAACTCCCGTTCAGGGCATTGATGACCTGACCGGGGAGCCTCTCATTCAGCGTGATGATGACAAGCCAGAGACCGTTGTCAAGAGGCTGAAGGCTTATGAAGTCCAAACACAGCCGGTCCTGGAATATTACCAGTGAGTATGTCACTTTTCAGAACTTCTCTAAATGATGAAGTACTAAGTCAATTTTCGATTATCCATGCTTTACAGCTGAAATGGGAAATACCAGAAGATCCGATTCAAATTGGTTTAAACAGTACAGGAAATGTATTAGCTTGCATAACAGACACTTCCAGAAGGTAGGTTGGGCTTCAGTGACCACTAGGTTTGATCAGAGTCTTGCCATTCTTTCAGCTCTGTGTTGGCTGTGTCCGTAGACTCCCGGCGTAGTTGCACGCAGTTTCCAGGAACAGGTGGGGCATCCTTTTTCGTGGAGGGATGAGTGATCAGCTTTCCCCCAAGTGAACAAAAGCCCCACATGTCACAAAGGGGGCACCAACGTGAACCACCACTGTGGTCAGGGAATGCCTTGCACTAACTGTTTTAGGCCTAGGTTACTGCCCGTTCTGGAACCAGCTCCTGGTTGGGAGGGAATAGGCTGGTTGGTTACCCCCTGGAGCGGGGAGTGCCCCCAAAGTCTGCCGTCAGGTAGAGGGAGGGCAGCCGTGGGTGCTGGGGAGGCAAGTCTGATAATGCCCACCACCCATGCCGTTAGAGGATGTTTAGAAGCCTCAGATGGCAACCTACCCTCAGATCATTTGTTTGGCTAATAGTCTTTAAAAGCTTCTATCTGAACACAGTCTTGTGTGCTCGTTAGGGAGTTCATATGCCACAACAAATACGGGAACTATGCTGAATAAATATTTGACGCAGTGCCATCTGCTTATTCAGTCTTTCCATCTGCTCATGGAGTGACTGCATCCCCTTTGCCTTCGTAACACTGACTGAACAGTGATTGTCAAGACAGCCCAGTGCTGTGGTTGGAGCAGATTCTGGATCCTGACTGCCTGAGTTCAAATCCCAGCTCATTGTTGATTAACTTGCTCTTAACCTCTTGCTTAACTGGGGCTAAGAATACAGGGTCAAAAGAGTGCGTTACTAGGAGTGACTTCTAGAAGTATGTCTGGGGCATAGTGAACACTGTATCATCGTTGGCTCCTACTGGTGGTGGAGTAATGGGGTATGCATGCAGTGACCCCTGAAGCCATAGTCTCCAAACAGTTCTAGGGTAGCACTTTCTGGAGGGTGAAATTACAAGGGAGTTGGCAATTCACTTTCTCCAGTGGCTAGTACTATAACTTTGTGGTTTGTGTAATGAGCTTGGCTCTGCAGGTGACCAGCTGTGTATGTGGCCCTGGGCACGGTCTTCATTCAACCTTTGTACCACAGATTCGTCATGTGTTAAGTCAGAGCAGTATTAAATAGTACCTACTGTAGAGGGCTGTAAAGGGGATTGAAAGAATTCACAGAGGCTTACCACAGCCCCGACACCAATAAATCACTCAGTGGTAGGTGCTCTTTTTATTTACTCTGCTGACACCGGTCCTCATGGGTCAGGGCCAGGCCCCAAGAAACTGCACCTGCTGTATGTGGGTGAGGCAGAGAGCTGGGTAAATCATAGTTGCCATACAATGGGATATATGCTTCTATCAATCAGGAACCTCATTCACACCAACTTCAGCAAAGGGGAATTTCTTCTAACTACAAAGTCCAAAGGTAGATCCTGGATCCAGGTTTTCAGACAGCGTCCTCAGGCCTCAGTCACAGCTCCTTTTCCGTGCTGGCTTCAGTCTCAGGTGGGCTGTCCCTGTGGGAGCCCCCCAGCATCCCTGCTTGTCTCTTACCACTTCAGCTACAGAGTAGAAAAGAGGGCCCCTTTGCCAGGAACAGTCCTGGAGTCGGCACCCATTCGCTCTGATCACGTCCATCCTGGAAGCTGGGGAGTGGAGAGAGTTCCACCCAAATGTCACAGACTGAGTTTGGTGAAGGTGTTATTTCCCAAATGAGGTTTTGTTAATCACTCAAAAGTAACCAGAAGGGAGAGCACATTGTTGCTGGGCTGAGAACACTGCAAGGCTATTCATAAAGGTGACCACCTCATGCAGCGGAAATAGGGGTTACTTCTGTCCAGAAGTGGGGAGGGGAGTTGGGAAGGCTGCAGAGAGAAGTGTATGATCCGGGTCCCATCTTAGGAGATACCCTAGTCTATCCTAGTCTTTTTTTTTTTTTTTAAGATTTTATTTATTTGAGAGAAAGAAAGAGCATGAGCAGGGGGAGGGAGGGGCAGAGGGAGAGGGAGAAGCAGGCTCCCCACTAAGCAGGGAGCCCAATGTGGGACTCGATCCCAGGACCCTGAGCTGAAGGCAGACACTTAACCTACTGAGCCACCCAGGCGTCCCCAGGAGATACCCTAGTCTTTCCAGGCTTCTGGCTTTTGCTCCCTCTTGCCATCAATTGAAGCTTTTCCTTCGAAACTCCTGCACATAGAGCTAGGGCTGGACTTAACCCAAAACTGAAAGTGGTATTTACAACAATTTCAGTGGTAATCAGCATTGTTATTTTACAATACTGACAGTTGTGTTGTTTTTTAAAACTCAGCAGCGGGACATTTACAGAGTCATTAGGTTTGTGTTAACAAACAGCACAATGTTCTTACTCTTTAGAGGACCTATAGGTGAGGCTGGGTTTATTTCATAGAAATTAAAATGACAAATGTCCATCCAAGGGACAGCTTCAGGATTGTATGAGGTGCCTGCACTTGTGCCCTCAGTAATGAACTCAATTGTGACACTGGCTTGATTTGAAAACTTTTTTTTCCCCAGAGATTTTATTTTTTTATATGAGAGACAGCGAGAGAGAGAGAGAGAGAGAGAGAGAGAGCGAGTGCACAAGCAGGGGGAGGGGCAGAGGGAGAAGCAGACTCCCCGCTCAGCAGGGAGCCCGACGTGGGGCTCGATCTGAGGACCCCAGGATCATGACCTGAGCCAAAGGCAGACGCTTAACCCACTGAGCCACCCAGGTGCCCCAAGAGTAGGAGTTACCTAAAGTTAGTCTTAACTCTGGCAAATTTGTAAGGTATCATAGAGGAATGCTTTTGTCTTCAGGGAAGCCTCTGACAATCAAGTGAAAGGTTGCAGAGGGAGGACTGATTCTGTTTTTAGAAAGAAACCTGAGTTCCTCGGGTGCTCTTAGGCAGACTTTAAGACACTTTGTGTAGTTGGAGGAGGAGGAATGCCAGAATCTCTGAAGGGAGTGTGTGTGTTCTGAAAAGCAGCCCTGGTCACCTGCTCCTGCTCACCATCTTACCCCCAGGGGTAGAGAGACATTGGCAGCTCAGGTGGTGGCAACCCATACCAATCTGCCTGGGGAAAAATGGAGAAACAACAGGAAACACCAGAAAAAGTTTTTATTACCATTTCCCCCAAATTCAAAAGAGGAAAAAATAAACCTAAGCAAAAAGCAGGAAACATCAAATATTAGGAAGTGGTTTTGCCAAGTGGGTAAGCAGACAAAGCCAGGGGTGTCTGATGGGCCCCGTGTTTGGAAGCCTACTTCTTACCAGTTTGGAGATCTGGGCTGTTACTTTACTTCTAACATACAGTTTTATCAGAAAAATAAGGAATCTGAGCTTTAGAAAGGATTACGTGAGCTATTATATTTAAAACACTGAGCACATGCTAAGTGCTCCTGTTTTTCAAGTGACTATTTCCGTAAGCCACAGGACACAAATGCAACTAAAATCTAGGTTTACCAATGCCAAGCCAATGGCTTTCTCTCCTGATCACAGACCATGCTTACTGAGACCCCTAAATCCACATCATTTTTTTTAAATTTTTTTATTTTTTAAAGATTTTATTTATTTGACAGAGACACAGCGAGAGAGGGAACACAAGCAGGGAGAGTGGGAGAGGGAGAAGCAGGCTTCCCGCAGAGCAGAGAGCCCGATGCGGGGCTTGATCCCAGGACCCTGGGACCATGACCTGAGCCGAAGGCAGACACTTAACGACTGAGCCACCCAGGCGCCCCAATCCACATCATTTTTTAAAAAAACTCTCCTCCCCCGCCCCCCACGTGGAGTTTGAACTCAGGACCCTGAGATTAAGAGTACACCCACTGAGCCAGCCAGGTGCGCCTCACATCATCATCTTTTGTTACGAATCACTTTGAGTGCTGAAGACACAAAAAAGTCGTTATGTGGAATGTTTCAAGAACAAGTATAGGTTACCATTGCATCTACACGGTAAGAATCGTGATCCCAACATGCAGATTGAAATGAATATATATATACTCATATATATAATAAAAATAAATGAATATATTATAAAGAAGAATTTATAGAGTATAAAAACAGAGATGCCATTTCATCATTGACTTTGTTCTCTGAAGAAGAACCCAGAGCTGGAAGGAAGCACCATAATGCTTTACAATATCATGTCTCAGCTCAACCAGAGAAAACCTACACTCTGAAAAGATTTACTGTTGGATCCAATGTGTTGTGTGGTCCAGTCTAAGAAACACATGGTCTAGGGGCGCCTGGGTGGCTCAGTCGTTAAGCGTCTGCCTTCGGCTCAGGTCGTGATCCTAGGGTCCTGGGATCGAGCCCCATGTCGGGCGCCCTTCTCCGCGGGAAGCCTGCTTCTCCCTCTCCTGCTCCCCCTGCTTGTGTTCCCTCTCTCGCTGTGTCCCTCTCTGTCAAATAAATAAAATCTTTAAAGAAAAAAAAAAAGACACATGGTCTAAATGTGAGTCTTCGCTGAAGGAAGCACAAGGGTGTGGAATCTTTCAAATGGTATGGAGGAGGTAGTGAACTCTGAGAAGGCATACCCAAATTGGTTAAGAGTCCATTTGAGGCCATATTCCAACCAGGGGGGAAAGATCTTCACTTCATGTCATCAGATCATAGTACAACTGAAGAAAAGGGATCTGGAAGTGATAGTGATTTAACATGGATCCACAGATGTGGCCAGTCAGTCAGAACCTGCTCTTAAACATCTCACACAGACCGACAGAGCATTTGAGCAAATCAAGAGCATGTAATCACAAGAAGCTATCATTTTTGAAAACTTTGATATGCACTGAAAACAAAATAGATCTCAGGGTGACTATACCGTGTATTTATAGTGGTGTTGCTGTACATATGGATCTAGGATCTTTCTTCTCCCTCTAAATGTGTTACGTTCCTTATCAATCAGTTAGGATTTATTTTGCTAAACAATTTGCTAACACATGACTCAAATTAAAAAACCAAACCCTATTTGTTTCTTTTGAATATAGTGTTTAAATTAAAGTAGAAAATTACAGGGGTGCCTGGGTGGCTCAGTCGTTAAGCGTCTGCCTTCGGCTCAGGTCATGGTCCCAGGGTCCTGGGATCGAGCCCCGCATCGGGCTCCCTGCTCAGCGGGAAGCCTGCTTCTCCCTCTCCCACTCTCCCTGCTTGTGTTCCCTCTCTCAGTGCCTCTCTCTCTGTCAAATAAATAAAATCTTAAAAAAAAAAAAATTACAGGTTTATGACAAGTATATGATATGATGCTACATAGGGGGATGGCTCTGTTAACAGTAACGCCTTCAGATATTTTGTTTTGTTTTTGACACTTTGCCTTGTCTGTCTAGTTAAACATTTGACTGATACTCTGTTTGATTTTGGAAATATTCTAATATGACCCAAGATTTGAATAAAGTTTCTCCTGGAAAAAAAAAATCACTTTGAAAAAGCTCATCAGGAAGAGTCAGACCTGTAGTTTTGTTTTGTTTTTGTCATCTTTAGGAAAAAGGGGGTATTGGAAACCTTCTCTGGAACAGAAACCGACAAGATCTGGCCCTATGTCTATGCTTTCCTACAAACAAAAGTTCCACAAATAAACCAGAAAGCGTGAGTTACTCCATGAGGAAAAGAGCATATAACCAGTAAGATGAGCAGAGACTCCTCGCCTGTGCGTTTAGAAGCTCCTTGTTCTGAGACTGGCATGAATGAATTCTTCGACAGTTATAGTCGTTTCACTTCTACAGATTTTATTCTGGAAACTAAGGATGTGTCAAATGAGTCTGATACAGAGATTCATCTTTTTGTCTAAGTGGGTTTTACCCAGGTATCATCTATGGGTGTGGAATTAAAAAACAATCAGATGTCTTAACTTTTGAAAAATCTTCTAAAGTATAATTAAAAGAGCAATTGGTAGTAATATAACTTTTGTTCAGAGAAAACATTGGTTGATAAAAAATTTATTTTTCTGGAAAAGCTAAAAAGAAAAAAAGTATCTCATTAGAGAAATATGTGTAGACTCTTGTCAAAAAACCGGCACTGTCAGCGCTTGTGGTACATGGTTTTGTGAGAAACTACGTCTATCAAATTCTGGAAAACAAGCAACTAGATATGCAGATTAGTTTCAGGGTGCAAATTCACTGCTGCCTTTACACTAAGAAACATAAGCTTAGCCGTATATACTGTATTTATTGTGTAAAATAGACCTTCAGTTTACTCAGAATTTTCAGTCTGCTATAAAATTGTGTTAAATCCGCATATAGGAAAATACTCAGGTTAAGAAATATGTGCTTTAGGATCTACTTGCCAGTTTCTCTTTTTGATCACTACGTAAGGTCTGCTGTGATGAGTAACAAAGTCCAAAAAGAAAAGAAAACCTATGGCCCTAAGTAAAGTAAGCATACTTGGTCGTCAGGAAGTAGAAACGGACCAGGTATGCTTGGGGAGAATTCCCTTGACACACGCAACAATCATAATTAGTAAACTAATCAAATTAGTAGCAGTTAAAAGGATTTACGTGAAAGGTTGAAAAGGACCAGGAAAGTAACTGAGTTTGCTGAAGGAGTTCTTTATTCCTAATCAAAGCAGTGGACCCCATCCTCTGGCAGGGAGAGACCTCTGCCTGTGTGTGGACGTTGAGTAGCCATTTAAAAGTGAAGATGATTTGCTTTCTTAGTGGGGCAACAGGGATGCATGCTCCCGTCCTGTGGCCTGGTAGGAAGAGTGGGGCGAGGACAGGCGGAGGAGCGACCCAGCTACATCTTCACTGGCCTATTCACTCTTCCTTTACTTGGTGCTAAATCCAGTGCAACAAGTCCTCGTACAAGCTGTTGATAACTGCCTTTGAATGTCTGGCCCATGGTATCCCGGGCACTTAAAATATAAATGCCAGCAAGTGGTTCTTTATGTATTTTGTGGGGGGAAAAGTTCTTTTCTTTTGATTTTTAAAAATTTAATGTTGATCTTTCAGAATGGACCAAGGCTTTTAAGAAGGATTATAGGACACATTTAATTCTTTACAAAACTTTCTGTAATGCCTTATTTGAATGTTAATATTATGTGCTTTCTAAAACTGTTGTAAACTACTAATGAATTATCATTAGGTCACCAGGCATACATGAGTATTAGTGTACTACAATAAAGTTAAACTTGGAACTGTGGGTGTTACTTTGTCTTCGGTATTCCACGGGGCCCACCCCATCCCCGATGTCTCACTGGCTTCTGAATTGATGACTGCTTTCTAAATTTTTTTTTAAGATTTTATTTATTTATTTGAGAGAGAGAATGAGATAGAGAGAGAGCATGAGAGGGGGGAGGGTCTGAGGGAGAAGCAGACTCCCCACTGAGCAGGGAGCCCGATCCCGGGACTCCAGGATCATGAGCTGAGCCGAAGGCAGTTGCTTAACCAACTGAGCCACCCAGGCGCCCTGATGACTGCTTTCTAATAACTGTCTTACAACAGTATATAGGCTGGTTTCATTTGAAGCTGTTATCTCCTGCTATAGGATTGCAGGCATACTGGCCTTCTTAACACACGTAGATTTGGAAATCAAGAAGAGGGGTAGAAGAACATGGCTTTGAAAACTGAGACTTCTTCCCTGTGACCATTCCCTCCCTACTCCTAAAACACTTCACCCAAAGTTTTGCACATATATCCATTACTTTGGGGAACACCTGCACTATTACTTTTTTCCTTTATTAAAGCAAATAAAGAGAACTTGTTTTATGCTGAATGAGTTGGTGTCAGACCATCCTGACGAAGGCTGTCATTGCTGAGGAGCACATCCTGCTAAAGAACATAATGCTCAACGGTCATCATTACGATTTATGTGCCACATGGAAATATGTCTAGAGCTGAGTGCCATGGCCAGGGGGAGCCACCATCCTTAAAGGCTAATAAGGAGAACAGTTCCAGGCGCCTGGGTGGCTCAGTCATTGAGCATCTGCCTTAGGCTCAGGTCATGATCCCAGGGTCCTGGGATCGAGTCCCACATCGGGCTCCCTGCTCCACAGGAAGTCTGCTTCTCCCTCTCTCACTCCCCTTGCTTGTGTTCCTGCTCTTGCTCTGTCAAATAAATAAATAAAATCTTAAAAAAAAAAAAAAAAAGAACAGTTCCTTAACCCATTACCCTATTTTCCAGAATACCACAGTTATTCCATAAGCAGAATGTGCTGTGGGAAATGCAAACTGGCAGTACAATCCACAAATTTTCTCAATTTCATTTGAAATAGATTACACACTCACTCAAATTTCTAAACCCCAGGCCACAGCTACTTTTCCCCCAGGTATTTACAATGGCATCCCAGCAAAATAGTTTGGACACTTCATAGTTTGAGACAAAACTTATCTATGTTAACAACAAACCATGGTAATTACAGACCAAAGGTTAAATTGCTATAATGCCTGCAACCAACAGCAAGAATAAATTTGTAGTTTAAAACATGTAAGTTGTGTCTTCTCATGGACAAAAGAAATAGCTTTCTTAGTTTTGCAACTCAAGGTTTTGATTTTGGAGGTTATTAGTTTAAAAATTTTAAAACACAGTAAAAGCCAACCACTCTGTTTTGTGTTTTGTTTTTTTTTTTTTTTCAACTAATGATCATGGTTTTTCCATATATATAGCACTGACTGAAGTTCAACTGTTAACACCAAATTGCACTTTGGAAGGATTTTACCGAAGTAAATCAATTTGGTGATGTTTCATATTTTACCAAGTGTTTGAAGAGAATCATGCTGTTTTAAGAAACCAAGTTAAAGATGCAGGATTTTTTTTTTTATCATTTTGATACTTAGAAAAGAGGAAACTTCAAGTCTAATTCTTCAAGGCTTATGAGAATGGTTTTGACTTCATTATTAGATGCTAAGCAATTCATAATCGTTTATTCTTTTGTAACCACCCCCCCATCACCTTACCTAGTAAGCAAGCAAATACTTATTCCATGAGTCCAATTCTCGGAGACCTGTGAAATGGTACACAGTATCTATTACAGATGGGAAATGGATGCAAAGGATTTTAGGAATTTTTAAAATGTGTATGATATAGTGACAAAACTGAAATGAACAGTCTGACCTTAATCCTGACAAATACATCTCCGTCTCATATCAATTTAAGAACTGAAATATATGATTGATCCTGAGAACAGTATATTGACATCTTCTTATTTTTCTCTGAAAATGCCCCAAGGTTAACTTCAGGATCACTGCCTAAACCCACAATCATTTTTTTCATCCTGTAAGTAAATCTACTTATTAAACCAGACTCATGTTCTTTGATCAGCATGTTAATTCACTTTTAAAAGGGGAACAGGCATGTTAATCTAAAAGAACACCCAATTTTCCTAAAGAGAAGTTATAGGACATTATGAGCTTATGCAGAATTGGAAAGAGCCCACTAATGGTGTAACTGGATGAGAATGTTACCCATTTATCTCCTAGAGACGAATTTTGGATCAGTATTATCCCCACTACCATGGATAAAATGACACCGAGTTAACGGGCAATAAATGAAGTAGTAGCTACTTAATTTTTTAAAAAATCTTTTATTAGAAGGTTAATTTTATCAGATGAAATAAGAATCTTTGATGGATACTTTGATGTCAAAATGTTTCATTCATCTGTTGGGACATTTCATCTGTCTGGACAGCCCAGCAAGTATGGACAGCCCAGCAAAATTCAATCTGAAATATTATTTATTATTTATTAAGAAACAGAAAAGAGGACATTTTTCTTAAAAGGGGTAGTTCTTAGTACTAAAGCAAAATAAAAGAAAAATAAAAAGGGCGTCAATTTACTGTTCTTAGTACTAAAGTACTGCTAAATATGTCAAAGTTAAAGTCTCTAAGTGCAAATCATGGCATCAGGGGCCCCCAGAGTAAACTCAATCGTATGTACATACAACACACAGAACACTTCCCTTTGAAAGTAAAAAATATATATATAGCTACAATCTTAAATAGTTCTTCAAGAATTCCTGTTTCAGAGAACACAACCAAAAAACCCTTCAGTAGTTTACTCAGTTTGTTGGTCATCTCGTTCCTCCCAGTACTTGGTCATTAACACCTCTGACTTAAAGGCAAAGGAGATTCAAAACAATTTGGGTGCTTCCAGGCAGCTCCTGGGGAAAGGTGAAGCTGAGGAATGGGAGGTAATGGCTCAAGTAACATTTCTGTGACATCGGGGACTTCCAGTCTCTATTTGACAGGAAGGGAAAAACAAGAGCTTACTCTAGAACAGGAAAACAAAACAAAAACAAACCTTCTATAACTAGGTCATTAATTTAAAAAAAAATTACAGGCTGATGAATACTACCATATAAATTAGTCAAACATTTTATTATAGAGTATATATTTTTATCAAAAGCACAAAAAGTTTTATTCTGAAAACCAGGAAGATTGTGATGTTACAGAAGTATGATTCAATAATTCCAGTCCATTTCTATGGGTATCATGTGCCTTATCACCTCAGTTAACTAACACAAGGTGCAAATGAGGCCACGGTCACAGGTCTGATCACCATATGGGTCCCTTAGCATTATTTGGTTTCTCAAATGGAGACATGTACTCCCAACCCCAGTCAGCCCGTCTTCCAAATGTGTGCTGCTACTCTCAATGGGACTGAGCCAGAGACTATACCCAATACACAGCAAAGCCCATGTTCCCCTAAGTCAGAAGATGAATCCTCAATAATAAGGACAGCATAATTAGCACTGTCATCTAATTCCAAGTGAATACTCAAATACCCTGGCACATCTGAAATGAATTCTATAGGAAGTAGTAAAGCTCAGAAGCATTCTATGGTAACTGACCTAAGGACAGAAATGACAAATGTAGTAAAAGCCATCATTACCAACAAGGATCACCAAATTCTTAGAAGTAAGGAGTTGGCAGCTCGAGGCAGTTAGGTCTTCAAGATTTCTCCTGCCTTTTAAAAAAGTCCTTGGGCTACATGAGAATGAAACAAACAACCATGATTTAAAAAATCAGATTATTCTTCCTGTTTGTTCTTACAGGCCATTAGTATTCTTTTAAAACTTGCTCCCTGAGAGATCCCAGACTATGTCAAGTAAAGAAATTAAGAGTGAGCTTGAACTTGATCTTATTAAAAAATCTATATTAATCACTTTTTATATTACTATAACCCTTAATACTGAAAAGTCAACAGGGTAAAATTAACTTCTAAGTAATGCAGTTTCAAGAATACATAGGGGATAAAGTCCGTATCTATATAAAAAATGAGATTATAGTCAAGGATTTAACTGATGGTGTCGAAAATACAAATGTAATATTATTTTAAAGGGAAGGACTTTGTTTTAATTTTTACCACCCAGCTTATTTAGTAAAGTAGATTATCAACTACTGATTTATTGCTTTTACTATGATGCAACACCAGACCTGACAGCGAAATTTGCAGTAGGATACAAGTACATTTTTATCTTTAATCATTTTTGTAGAGTAGGACATGTACATATCCACATAAAAAGAGACTGTAGCAGATGCCTCCTAGAATCAACCAGTTCTTGTAAACATTGCATTTGTGCAGATTTTCACACTCTGATTCCAAAACTGAGAACAGTAAGATTAAAGGCAAATTTAGTAGCCAAAAAAAAAAAAAAAAAAAGTCCAGTTTGACTTCCTACAACATACGGTACCACTCCTCTCTTCCAAAAAAAAAAAAAAATCAAAAAACCTAGCAGCACATAAAAAAAATTTTACAAAACGTTTCAGTACTCTTTTTTCCCCTCCCATCAAAACCGAACAAAAATAAAGTGCAGCACCCATAAAAGTGTCAAGAAAATAGCCAAGTTCTTCCTTCCTTGTAACAAAATAGCACTTGGCCTCAGCAGTCTTAACCAAATCATACAGTGTCCATCATTTTGGATTCATCATCTTCTTTATGTACCACTGAGTTTAAACTGCAAAGAGCTGTATTGACAGAATACTGAAGATAATCTGGATTCTGGGGGGAAAAAAAAAGAATATAGGGAAGAAACAATGGATGATAACAGTTTTATGGCAGTGTACGCAACTACATACTCAGTTTCACACAGTCTACTTCTCTGCAGTGTAGTACAAGTAAAGTAGGTGGGAAAGAAAATGGACTCTGAATTCAAAATTGGGTTGAAACCCAAGTAGATAAAATAGACTGGACCACTTGTTCCAAAGAGGATGTGACAAAGACAGATATATGTAAAAAACAGAACTGTAATAAACACTTTTTCTTCCTTTTAACAAAACTTGCAATTTAAATTATTTAATCATATAAGGGTACATCTTCCATGTAATTCTATGTACAAAGCTATTGACAATTTAAAAGATAAATATGGCTTTAAGTTGGCAATGTGTTTTAAAGATTACTATCTAATTACCACAGTAAATATTAAAAATGCAAAACACTTGAATAAGGAAAAAAATGCATTTACCAAGTAAAAATTATAGCTACCTTCAGAGTCTATCTTGGCTTTTCAAAGGTTAAAAACAAACTCAAATGAGAAACTATTAATCTTTTGAGAGGTACTTAGATCCATATTTTAAAAATTGAGAATAAAAGAACATTTTAATTTGGATTTTGCTTATTTTTTATTTTATTTTATTTCATTTTTTAAAAGATTTTATTTATTTGACAGAGACACAGCGAGAGAGGAACACAAACAGGGGGATTGGGAGAGGGAGAAGCAGGCTTCCCGCCGATCCCGGAGCCCAATGTGAGGCTCGATCCCAGGACCCTGGGACCATGACCTGAGCCAAAGGCAGATGCTTGACTGAGCCACCAAGGTGCCCTGGATTTTATTTTTTAAACTCATAAATATACTATCTGTATATTTCTAAAGCTAGGAAGAAAACCTTATTCAATAAATGCAAAAATAAAACTATTATTTATTAAAGCACCATGACTAAGGACATTAACCCTTAAGACCCAGGACCTTAGGAAATTCTTCCCTTAAGAATTCAATTTTGTCTAGTCAGTTGTTCTGAATATCTGCTAGCTACTCAGAGTTTTACCACCGTTATCACCTGGTTTCATTTGTTTTTGTTTATTTTATTTAATGACCACCAATGAGGAAAATAGTCCAAATGGGATAGATGTCTTAAACTTTCCCATCCCGTAGGGAGGCATGGTTTTCAAAAGATTCTTTTTTAATAAAGTACAATACGTTGTGATTCCATTATCTGTAAAGTCAAAAAGCTAGCCAGAAGCCAGATTATCCCCCATCAAGTCTTGATGAAGGCACCAATAACTGACTGAGGTCTGGAATACTACAGTAATTTTGGACCTCAGTTCTAATCCTGCCTCTACCACCTAATGTAGTGCAGTCCTTACAGAGAAAACTACTCATCACAATTTAATAAAATTAAAAGCCGGTCTATAGGATAAACCTAAGGTAACTGTTGTAACACCTCTGTCCAAGAGGCCTCGGTTTAGTTCTCTCAAAACGAAGGATGATGGTATTTGCTTATTTCACAAGATGGTATTTGCTTATGTCAACTGAAAAAATAAATAAAAGCTGAAGTTATGCCAATTTAAGTTTTATAAAAAATTATTAAGTTCTCATTACATTATCCCATTCTCCAAAGAAACAGAGCGCTAAGACCTTTTCTGACAATGCAAGCCCAATTCCAAAGGCCTTCAGAACAGAGCTTACAATTTCTCTACCAAGACTGGACTGGAGTCCTCCAGAACTTATCATCCATCTCCCTGAGAACTTAAGACCTCATCATGGAGAGACTTAAAAAAACAAAAAGCAATCAACATACCTAACCTAATCTACATAAATTCCACTGATTACCCCATATTTTCATCTAGTAGCATTCTCAACACATTTCTCATCCCAGTAACTAGTTCTCTGTAAGAGCACATGACTGTGTCTCCTGTCCTGTTTCTAGCATATGATTCAACAACAATATTAGTGCGGGTGAAGGAGGAGTGAAGTAGGATAGAAATCCAGGACTGGAGTATTAGCCGTGTCATCAGACAAACTGCTTAACCTCTCTGAGCTTCAGTTTACTCATCCATAAAAATGAATGAAAATGAATCACAGGGCTTTTGAGAAGATAAAATGAAACAACATATGAAAGTGTTTTGCAATCTATAAACTGTATATAAAAATGGGATATAATTATTACGGTACGCTTTTCTCCCCAAAGCTTCCCATCACCCAGTCTACAGTCCTTCTGGGCATCTAGCTGAAATTTTATCCAGCCCTTCTCTCCCTCAGGAGGACTAGACCAGGATGCTCAACTTCTCCAACCATGAGGAATTAGCCCAAATGAATTAAGTCTGAACAATCCTGATAATATCAGCAACTTTAAAGTGTCAAAATTGTATAGCCCCAGTCCCCCATCTCGCCAAGGGAGGCCGAGTAGCAGCCTCGGCAGCTATCTGATATGTGCAGTAAGAACTTACTTCTCTCAAATTAGAAGCGACTTGTTGATAACACAGGCCCCTTAGGATATTTTAATGTATATATTTTCCCTCTTATGTTTAGAACCAATAACAGCCTTCAAAGTCTCTTTTTTCTCCTTTGTTTTCATTATGTGGTATCTTAATTATAGGTTTATATATTGGACTTGACAGTGTCTTACAGTCATAAAATTCCCTTGGAAAGACTACTTCCCTGTGGGCTATTTCTCAAAGTATGGAATAGAAAATCATTACTATATTTAAAGAGCATTAAGAGATACTCTGTAGGGGGCGCCTGGGTGGCTCAGTCATTAAGCGTCTGCCTTCCGCTCAGGTCATGATCCCAGTGTCCTGGGATCGAGCCCCGCATTGGGTTCCCTGCTCAGCGGGAAGCCTACTTCTCCCTCTCCCCCGCTTGTGTTCCTGTTCTCGCTCTCTGTCAAATAAATAAATAAAATCTTAAAAAAAAAAGAGAGATACTCCATAGGACAAATGGAGGTGGAATATTACTTATATATGTAACTGAGGGGAAATATTACTAATTATGTAAAAATCAAGACCTTGATTATTTCTATGCTTGAGAATTAGTATTTTTGGCTGAGTTGAATATTATCAATTGCTTTCCTTAATTGTCGCTTTGGCCTATGACTTATGTAACTGAAATGGTGAAATTATAGAGACATAAGGTGTAGATACTGAAAATCTCAATCCTACCACTTTATGAGATTTAAAACTACAGGGCTTTCCTCACACTGTCTTCTGAATGAGTCTGCCCTTTTTACTGTGTAGGCAACAGACTGAACTGGCTAAAGCTGGTCTTAGAATCTTGGGGCCTGGAAATGAGAGATGACTGGGCTCAATTAAAATGCTACTAAAATCAACATGGGCAGCAATTTTCTAGTGGTAACAAATCTTCTGACAGAAATCCTTTCATGCTAGAAACACAGCTTTATCTAGATCTCACAGCAGAGGCTCAAAAGGTTAGTGAACATTACTAGCAAGAGCAGCTTAGCAGAAGGTGCATTAATGTATTAAAAATGTTATCTCTGGCAGGCAACGCCAACATTTCATAAGATAATACTAAATAAACTCATGAAACAAATCACCCTGGTTGCCACTTGGATGTGAAGCTAATTCATCCTAAGAAATTTTTTTTTTCTTAAGATTTTTTTATTTAAGAGCGAGCGCCCATGTGAGTGTGCAGTGGGTTGGGCAGGGGGCAGAGAGAGAGAGAGAAACTTTAGCAGACTCCACGCTGACACCGAGCTCGATCCCACGACCCCAAGATCATGACCCAAGCCAGAACCAAGAGTTGGGCATTCATCTGACTGCCCCACCCAGGCACCCCAATCCCAAGAAATTCTTAACAGTACATTTTGCTGAGAATGAGATGGTCCCCAGGAGCCATCTTAAAAAGTTTATGATTGAAATGATCAATAGGTAACACTTGCCCTTAAGAGTGCATAGGTACAACTCATCTCTTCTATATTTAAAGGAATGGAATTTGGTGTCTTCTAAATACCCAAGAGATGGAAGAGATTTAGTGCCAAAACATGGCATGAAATGAAAGTTATCTTCTGAGGTGAGAATATTTAGGGACGCCTGGGTGGCCCAGTCGGTTAAGCATCTGCCTTGGGCTCAGGTCATGATCCCAGAGTCCTGGGATCAAGTCCCACATCAGGCTCCCTGCTCAGCGGGGAGTCTGCTTCTCCCTCTGCCTGCTCTGCCTGCCGCTCCCCCCTTCCTTGTATGCGTGCTCTCTCTCTCTCTCTCTGACAAATAGATAAATGTTAAAAACAAAACAAAACAAAAATTTATTTTCCAACTTACCTGTGGTAAGGATTCTAACAAACCTATAGATCCCACACTAGAATGAGGAACATGATTCTGAACTATCATAGGTTGAAAACTTGGTGATTGAGAATAAAGTCGGACTCTTGACTTGAAAGCTTCAAGTTCATTTTTGAATGCTTCAAAATAACCTTCTTCCTCCGCCTGGAAAACACACAAAACAAAGACTCTGTTTTTCAAGACTTCCAGACCACAGAGTAAATTCTAACAAACATATCAGATCTGAAGTGGAGGAAGTAAAGATAAGATGAATAGTTTAAATGTACGTAGACACCACCAAGATCCCTGTCAGATTTATGAAAACTACCTGTTTTATAGGAATATTAATGATTGGTTTGCTCCATTTCCCTCTACGCCAGTAAAACACACACACACACACACAAATATGTATGTATACACACAAATTTAACAAAAGTAGGAATTCTCCGTATTTCTCTTGATTCTTGACAGGATCCAAAATAGTTCTCATTTAACCTCTCACATTGCCAAGCAACAACCAAGGGATATTCTTACAACCTTCTAATTCTCCATCAATTAATGGTAGGGCACTGTTAGCTGTTCCTGTAAATCTCCAGCTCTATACTCCCTATTTGTAAAACAATGAAAACCAAATAAAATTCAACATTCAATTCCATTCTGGAAGTTCCTTAGTGTTTTAGTGAAGCAAATACCTTTTCAACATTATGGAGAGAAAAAAGTATAATGAGTATTATGTTGCAGGAGAGGACCTTCCTCCAATGATGTATAACATAATCAAGATTCTTTTATTTTTTAAGATTTTATGTATTTATTTGAGAGAGAGAATGACAGAGAGAGAGAGAGAGAGAGCATGAGAAGGGAGAGGGTCAGAGGGAGAAGCAGGTTCCCCGCCGAGCAGGGAGCCCGACTTGGGACTCGATCCCAGGACTCCACGATCATGACCTGAGCCGAAGGCAGTTGCTTAACCAACTGAGCCACCCAGGGGCCCCACAATCAAGATTCTTGATGTAAAACACCCAATTGGCAGTAGCCTCCACTTAGGTTTCCTCTGCAGATAAGGAATTACACAGTACTTATCCTATGCTAGGACTTTAGGCTTTAAGTTCAGGTGATGGAAGAGATTTTGTCAAAATCTCATTCTATAATATCACTGGGCCCATTTGTGTGGAAAACTATTTTTTCTTTAATGTAGTTTAGGTTATGTAATCAGTTAAAACCTGTGAGTTAGTTATTTAGTTATTAACATCAATATCTATACAAATCACACAGACAATATTCTGTGCTGCCATTCTACTTTTTTATGAATTTAGCAATCATTTCCCTAATTATATTATAGCATTTCACTTTGATCAATATATGGTACTTGTAGAGACATACAGGCTATCAGCCTTCATATCCAGAAGTAATCCTTCTCAAATGGTTATGCAACAAACTATGAAAGAAGCCAAATGGTATAGCTGCTGGCTTTACTGCATGCTGAAGGCCTGGGGATTTAGATCTAGAGAGACTTGACTAATTTTTGCTTTAAGTAACCTATTCTCTATGCTAATTTCCTAACTTGTAAAATAGAAATAATAACCCTCATAAAATTGTATGAGGATTTAATGACTTAATCCATGTAGAGTGCTTAGAATAGTACCTGGCACAAAGTAGTAAGTACCATGAAAGTTAGTTATTCCTTAATTTTAAAAAATTATTAAGAACAAAATGCTAAGATTAAAGACTTTTCAGTTCTATTCTGACAAAGTAAATTTCAAAGACTAGACATAGGTTGGCTATGTTCCATTATCCTATTAATAAGCACTAGTTCAAACCTATCCAATCATATAAGGTGAAGAACAAAGTATGGTTTTTATTATGCCTGTGTGTCAAGTGAACATTTAGAATAGTCATTAGAAGCCTAACTAAAACACCAACTCAATCATTTACTTATTAAAACTCTTACTGTTTTGGGAAAATTTCCTAAATGGCTGCACTTTAGAAGTGTTCAAAGCACTTAAGGTAGGGCTACTATCAACCTGATGTATTTTTTAAAATTTAATACATTTAACTTAATACATTTTTTTCCCTCTTTATAAAAGGGAATATGTTCATTGTAGTATATATAAAAGAAAATGGAAATCATGTGTAATTCTACCACCCAAGAATAATCAAAGTTAAACTTCTGGTATATTTCCTTCTAACGTCTAACTGTGTATGCTGAAATGAATCATATATATAAAAAAATGTAAAATACCTATGTAGTTTACTGGACAAAACCCAACTATGTACCCACAGAACTTAGGAAATGGATCATTACTACCTTCTCACAAATCAGTTCCCAAGAGCGTTTCTTCTCCCTTCTCTGATGTTACTTTCTTCTTAAAAGTCACTCCTTTGCCTCTTCAGTTTTACTGCTTACTTGTGTACCCTTCAACTATATATTGTTTAGTTCTGCTTGTTTTGCAACTTTATAAAGAATATAGAATATGTTTTAAAAGCTACTAGATATATCATTCTGTGACTTGTTTTTTTCCCCACACTCTTGTTTTTTCATCCACAGTAATGCTGGCTAATATTTACCCAAATGAATATCCCACTCATTCTACTGTCAACAGACACTTGGGTTGCTCCCAGGCTTTTTGCAATTAGGAACAATTCTATTATGAACATTATGGTATGTGGTGGGTGCACATGTATAAGAGCTTCTCAAGGGCAGCAGTTCTCAAACTTCAGGGTCTCAGGACTCCCTTCACACTGTTGAAAATTACTGAGGAAACTAAAGAGCTCCTGATTATATGGGCTATTATTTGCCAATGTTCACTGTGTTAGAAAGTAAAACCCAGGAATTTGAAAAATATTATCTAAAATATAACAACAAACCCGTTACATGTTAACATTTATAACATTTTTATTTTAAAAAACTTTATTTCTGAAACAAAATATTTAGTGACAAGTCTGGCTTAACAGAAGATAGCTGGATTCACACATCTGCTTCTGTATCAAATAACATCTTCGTGTTATTATGAAAACAGCTTTGACTCAAGGCCTCCTGAAACCAAGTCTTGAAGACCGTTGGGTGTCCCGGGACCACATGTTGAGAAATCTGTTCTCTAGTATATATACCTCTGGAGAATTTCTGGTTGGACTGGCTGCCTTTGATGTATATGGACCAAAGAGGTCTCAGCTAAGGCTTAATCTTCCCACTTAAAAATATTAAATAGTTACTTACTTTGGCTTTCTGGAAAAATAAACGAAAACACCCTCTTGGATCCACATTACAGTTTTTGGCCATTTCCATAATAAACTGCATTACAACAGCCTGATGTGCTATTTGTTCCATTAGAGCCCCTTTCTGAAAACAGACAGATTAAAATTATGAGAAATACCTCTGGAAATTTAACATTGTGATTACTATTTGGATTTTAAAACATGATTTTTCAATAGGTTAAAAAAGAAAAGGGTTTATAGTATGTGGGAACAAGAGAAATGAGGCGGCAAAGAAAGCACACTGGAGAAAAGTTTCCATATGCTAACTAAAACAACTAAAAATATTCCCACAGTAAACTCAAGTAGATCTAAAAACAAAAAAAGTATTAATTCCATTTAAGAACCTTCCTGCTTTCATTTAAAGTAACATAAAAGACAAAACAAAAAAGTAAATCAGAATTCCACTAAGGTTCCAGAAACTCAAGGTTCACACAATACCTGCTCAGCTTCTAGATGAAAACACCATAAAATAAGATATTTAGCAGTCTCTTCACATACAAGGTATGGATGGTCAGATAAAAATCTCTGACTATCATCCCATCGACTCAACATACCTGTAAAAAAAAAGAATTAAACCACAATTGTCAAATACTCTTATAAACAAAGAAATTGGTATTTTAAATGATTCTCTTTAAAGACAATTCATATTACCACAGCAATTTGTTAATGGTAAAAGAGCAAATGAGAGTGATAAAACTCTTTTATTTTTTTTTTAAAGACTTTACCTATTTATTTGAGAGAGAGAGAGCACGCATGCACATATGAGTGGGGTGAGAGGCAGAGGGAGAAACAGACTCCCTGCATGGGGCTCCAGGATCATGACCTGAGCTGAAGGTCGTAGACGCTTAACGGTGAGCCACCCAGGCGCTGCGATAAAACTCTTTTAAAGCAATACCAATATATTGGAAATAGCTTCCCAAGTTCACAAAAAGTTTTATTTCAGATAATTAGTCAGGTTAAAGTAAGGTGACTGGTATAAAGCCAAAAAACCCTCCATCGGGGAAATGCCTGAAGTTCCAGGCAAACTGAGATGACTGGTCATTCTATGCTGAACTGAGTACAAATGATTTCAAGAGACTCAGTATTATTTACTCACAGAATACAAATTTTTCTACTAGAAAGATGGCAAAGAGGGGCGCCTGGGTGGCTTAGTCGGTTGAGTGTCTGCCTTCGGCTCGGGTCATGATCTCGGGGTCCTGGGATCGAGCCCCGCATTGGGCTCCTTGCTCCCCACTTCTCCCTCTCCTCCCCGCTTGTACTCTCTGTCTCTCTCTAATAAATAAAATCTTAAAAAAAAAAGATGGCAAAGAAAGCAAAACCTCAAGAAACTGTATTTAGCAAACACTTAATAAAACAGAAAAACCACATTATCTCTAATTTATTTAAAAATGTCTAAGATGATATGGTCAGACACTGACAGCACGGAAAACCAATCCAGTAGTATTATAATAGTAAATATACTTTAACCATTTCAGTCATGTAAATCATTTAGGAATATTTATAACAGAAAACAAAATCAGTTAAGCATACTTGAAGGCAGATACCATTTGCTTCAAAATATCAAGCTAATCCAAATACTACTAAAGGTCTATCTTGATCTTTATCCGAATTAGTAAGAAATCTGGTGAAAAAGTCAATGCCATCATGGAACCAGCAAAGTGCTCAGCTTTTAATTTTGTACAGTAAGCCTTACGTTTGAACAAATTAACTACATTAGCTTTAGACTCTTAAGACTCATCCAGGGGCGCCGGGATGGTTCAGTTGGTTAAGTGTTTGCCTTCGGCTCAGGTCATGATCCCTGGGTCCTGGGATCGAGCCCCACATTAGGCTCCCTGCTCAGCAGGGAGTCTGCTTCTCCCTCTCCCTCTGCCCCTGCTTGTGCTCTCTCTCTAATAGATAAATAAAATCGTAAAAAGAAAAAAAAAAAAAGACTCATCCAAAGAAGTCTGTATGTCACTGAATCATTATGGAAATTTTATAAGGTGGTCTCAACAGTTTGGCAGTAAAGCTTTCCTCTAGACACAAACTGAACTTCTATTAAAGTTCCATATTAGAACACAAATAAGAACAAAACTGAGGATGAATGTCTTACTGAGAAATACACATTTAGCAACACATGGGAATCAACTGAAAATAAATTATTAATTTCCTCATTTAAAAAAAAAAGGAGGGAGTAAGCATTTTAGCATTTTCACATAAAGAGTTTTACAAGCTTTATAAAGTATTTTCCCAACACTTTGGATACAGTGATTAGGGCATTTTAAATTCTGAGAACAATGATTTTGAAAGTTACTTAAAACTACTCCTCAAGGTATACTTAAAAAGTCTAGTAACTTCTAGGGGTCAGATCTAAAGAAGGCATAATCTTTCTTATACCTGAAGCCATAAAATAAATCCTATGAAGCAGTTTTGCATTAGCTTTGTTATACTCCTGAAGAGGTAGTATTTCCAATTCTATCCACCCTCCATAGAGAGAGCATTGCTTCTGTTTACTTCTCCATGGCAGCATCATGATTTACTGAGGCACCAAAATCCTATCTATTTTGGTTTCTTTTACAGGAAGGATAATATGAAATGGTTAGTGACACTTATAGGGATCATGAGGAAGGGTATCATTAAATGTTACAATTTTTAAACTATCCATTTAATAACTAAGACAAAATTAATACTTGAAGTTGACCACAGCTTTTCTTTATCTGAGAAATACCTGTCATCACTTGATTTCAAAAATGCATTATCAATTATGAAATTGAGGTTAGGTTACAGGTAGTCCATACACACCTATGTGAAAACAGTGTGGAATCTTATGAACAAAATACTTAATCAGTGGCTTTAGTGGAATGTAACATAGCTGAAATTACTAATGTTATTTTGGAATTTGTAAACAAACTTACAAACAGGTGAGAGTAGCACAATCTAGCATGGTGACTAAGCAAGCCACCTCTGGAAACCAACTGCTTCGGTCCGAAAACTGGCCTTACCGCTTACCGTAGAGATATGCCTTGCCTGTCTCTATGCCTCCCTTTCCTCTTCTGTAAAATAAGGCTAAAAAGAGTATCTCACTCAGAGGGTTTCTGTGAGAATTAAATGAGTTAATACACATAAAGCACTTGGGACAGTGCCTGACGAGAGTAAACATTAGGTAGTATCAACACAAAAGGGAATAATTCATTCTTTCATTAAATATTAAATACTTTGGTTAAGATTAATCTAGTCATTTCAACTAGCCAACCAATCTCTGAATGCTTGAAAAACCTTACTTTGACAAATTAAAATTTTTTAATTATGTGCTATAAAATACCTATGTATTTTCCTCAGCATCTAAATCCCAATCCATCCATTGGCTCTCAGTATTCCACCTAATTCCCGAAATGGTCCTCCAATACACACTGTTACTGATTTCCCTTTCTTCTTTGCATTATACTTACAGAGTAATAGATTTGAATCCTTTAAATTATACTAATCATTTTAATGTCTCTACCTGCTAAAAAATCTCCCAAAAAGGCTGTAAATTTTTTATTTTTAAGATTTTTATTTATTTATTTGACAGAGAAAGAGGGAGAGACAACGAGAGAGGGAACACAGCAGGGGCAGACGGAGAGGGAGAAGCAGGCTTCCCGCTGAGCAGGGAGCCTGATGCGGGGCTCGATCCCAGAACCCTGGGATCATGGCCTGAGCCGAAGGCAGATGCCTAACGACAGAGCCACCCAGGTGCCCCAAGGTTGTAAATTTCTTAATGACAGGTAAATGACCTCTTTTTCTGTATTTCTGAAGTCCCAGGGCTCCTGTATTTCCAATCACCTACCACCAGACAACTATTTCTACCTACGTGCTTGCACATAAACTAATCTTATTTGAAACTAAACCCATTTTTCTCTCCCTGCCATCTATGGTGCTTCCTAGGCTCCATGTCACCCACTAAAAAATTCTAGAAATTCCTCTAGACATTTCCATTCTTCCCACATCAAACTGATCACCAAGTACTGTGGTTGTATTATTATAAACTGTTAATACCATTTATAATAAAATCAATAAATTTTCCAATGTTAAGCTATCCTTCAATTCTTAGGATAAACCCTTTAAAATATTTTTTTCATATTATAAAAATAATGCATATTCATTGTGAAGAATTTGAAAAATCCAGAAAAATCATCTGCAATCCTACAAAAGAAAATTAATGTTAACACTTTAATATATTTCTTTCTGGGCTTATTTTTTAATGACTTAAACAAAATTAGAATCCTATCATACATATTAATTTTCTACTCATTTTACTACACATTCTACTCAAGAGTACTTTATAATGTGTTTTTGAAAAGCAATATGTATGTGCTTACACTGAGGAGACTGAATATCCACCTTCCATACAAATGAGAACAATCCATCATAGTATTTATGCAAACATTTATAGCTTTCGATAAAATTTCCAGTGACAGCACCCTACAGACTCAAAAATGTTAAATCATAGCTAACTTTGGCTGGAAATGAACAGATGATGTGCCATGAAAAACTATGCTAGATCATCAAAAAGCCACTCTGATGATCACAAAGAAAGTGATGTCAAAGATGCATATGACATCGAATAAAACTTTTGTGAAATTTTTTTTTAAAGATTTATTTGTCGGAGAGAGCGCGCACACAAGCAGGGGCAGCGGCAGGCAGAGGGAGAGGGAGAAGGAGACTCCCCGCTGAGCAGGGGGCCTGATGTGGGACTTGATCCCAGGACCCTGGGATCATGACCTGAGCTGAAGGCAGCTGCTTAACCGACTGAGCCACCCAGGCGTCCCAACTTTTGTGAAATTTGAAAGAAAACAGACTTTGTTGCTAAATTGGTATTTTATATTTATAAAATATGAATTAACCAAAGTAAATAAATTAAATACAAATGTAAGGGGAAAAATCAAGATTTCATTGCTTTAAAATACTCCATGGTATGATCGTACCATTTATCATTAAATGATAAAGTCCACCTAATTATAAGACCAAAAATAACATAAGACAGTCAGCAAACACCATAATGGAAATGTTAATGTTAAGTACACTTGAAACCACAGAGAAGTCCCGGTATTGAGCCCCTGGAGCCCTTCACAGCCCCCTATGTATCAGGCCTATGTCTTCCAAGAGTCTGGAATGAATCCAAGTTTGAAAAGCCTCCAGTCGGAATCTTTAATTACAGCTGCTATTCCAGATGTGTTTACTTCAAAGAAGTGTATCACTGTAGTCATAATTCTGACAAATGCTTTTTCCCCCCTTTACCACAATAAGCATATAACACCAGAAACATTTGCTTCCACCCAGCAGGAACAGCATTAAACTTTCACTATCTTGCCTAAGGTCTCTGTCAGCTCTACGCCACAATTTAGTCCACAGGGACTTTCATCATCTCATCATCCTGCACAATTACCAGCTGGCCCACTTCATACTGATGGAACTTGGTCAGCAGGAAGTAGCAGGTATCCAGATGTCCTGGTAAGATACACACACGCCAGAAAGTGGGGAAAAAAACACATAAAAATTTGGGAGCCTACTACCTTAGTAAAATTTCTGGGGATGCAAGGAACTGTGGCAAGTAGGGTATCTCCTCCAAAGGAAAAAGCCAGTGTACATTTCCATTAAGAAACAGGCACAATGTGAATCTGGGAGTAGCTATCAGGTCTGGTTGGCTTTGAAGACAGTAAGGCTCTGGTTAGTATTACAGAATGAGACACTGGAAGCCCCCAACACGCAATGGCAAAACCACTGCTTATTAATCACTTGTAGATGTCAAGTCAGCCTTTTCCTCAGCCATCTCCCTGCTTGCAAAATATAAGCTCAGGGGCCATGGTGGCAGACTTGAGATTATGCAGAGATTCAATGGCATGGGATCTCTCCATTAAGATATTCCAGTATAGCCTCTGAATACCTAATTTGCCAGTAGCGGAAACCAGTGCTGAAAACTAAATATGGCACCAATATGCTGGATGGACCAGTCAACCATCAAGTAACAGACTGATTATCTTGGTCCCATTTCATCTTGTAGAAAGCAGTGGTTCCTCACTTGAACAAACCCATTCTAGATCTGGTATTGCCCTCCCTTCTTGCCATGCTTCTACAAGTAATACATCTGTGATCTTACTAAATGAGTTATTTAGTACCATACCACATTAGTTCTTGACCGAGAAATTCATTTTACAGCAAAAGACATGAAGACAATAGGCTCATGAAATTCACTGGTCTTATAAACATCACTACCCAGAAGCAGGTTTTATAGAATGGTTAAATGTTTTATTGGAGACTTAAATATAGTTATACTGCCAGGTGGGTTACAACACCTTGTGGAGACTGGGTTATTTTCCCCACACAAAATTGTTTCTTCTTGAGGCATTCAATTTACAGCAAAAATGAGGGAACTGTTTTGCACCTACTAGGTTTCCCACAGCTCCAAAGCAACTAGCTTCCAGAATGCCAACTGGGTGACAACACCTTAAAGGATGCCATTCCACGAGATGCAGTGGAACACACAGGTCTAGGAAGCAAGGACTGCGGGTGGGAGTGGCAAATCACATTATCACAACTAAGACTCATTTCCAAAATGTTTAAAAGTGAACTTTGCTCATTTCTTCAGGTTCTATCCTTGAATTAATCTGAATACACAGCCTGCTTTCTTCTTTCAAAACAAGAAATATGAGAAAAATGAATCCTTTATGAATAAACTACATAAAAACGGGGAAAAAAATCTGAAGTACTATCCACTGTCTTAATAAAACTGAAGGATGAATGAAATTCTAACTGGGGGGGGGGAAACACCACTGGAAATGTATTTCAAAATGCCACTTAATAAGCTTATTAACATACTACAAATAAAAACTATGTTTACGAAATTAACATATTACTTGGGATCAAAAAAATATGCCTTGAGCCTTAACCCCTAACATTTCCCAGTGGCATTTTGACCCCCGCAGCACCACACAGCTTACCCAACACAGCATGTTGTCTCCTGACTCTGCCTTTGCACGTGGTGCTGATGCTCGCTTATCTATAGGGAGAACTCCTAGGTGTTCTTCATAATTTAGCTCAGATGTTCTCTCTTGTGGGAAGTCTTCACCACATCAACCCCCAGCCCACTGTCTTTCCCCAATAGAGAAAACTAATTTTCAGTACTTCATATACGTATTTCTATTACTATGTTTATCTGAATTGCAGTTGAAGGAGCTGCAGGAACTATACAGGAACATATCCAAAACCTGAAAATAATGAATGCTAATCTTATAACCATAAAATAATCAGATACCACAGAAGCAAAAAAGGGAAAATGACAAAAGCAAAGACTAGTTGGGTGATGGAAAAAGGCTATGGAGTAAGCAAAGACTGCGCCTTAGAGAGTAGCATTATATAATAATAGATTGAATTTTGCTTCTCTTCTCGATTTAGTTTACTGTCAATCTATTTATGACCAAAAAACAGTTTAAAGCAAGAGCTATGGGTGCCTGGGTGGCTCAGTTGGTTGAGCGACTGCCTTCGGCTCAGGTCATGATCCTGGAGTCCCAGGATCGAGTCCCATACCGGGCTCCCTGCTCAGCAGGGAGTCTGCTTCTCCCTCTGACCTTCCTCCCTCTCATGCTCTCTACCATTCTCTCTCTCTTTCAATAAATAAATAAAAATCTTTAAAAAAAATAAAATAAAATAAAGCAAGAGCTATACAACTGTGCCAGAAGTAGCCACAAAACTGGAATTTTGCCATTTATCTTCTTTTTGGCCCCCATTTTATAAATACACTTTTTGTACACATATTTATGATATCAAACACTGTATTTTTTTTTTAAGATTTATTTATTTTACAGAGAGAGCGCAAGCAAGCAGGAGGGCAGAGGGAGAGGGGGAGAGAATCTCAGGAAAATTCCCTGCTGAGTGCGGAGCCCTACCCAGTGCCCAATCTTATGACCCTAAGATCATGACAGGAACCGAAATCAAGAGTCGGACTCTCAACCGAATGAGCCACCCAGGCGCCCCAATATCAAACACTTTATAAAAGAAGGAAACGAAGCAGCGGACTTACCAAAATGTCTTATTTTTTGTTCGTACTTCTGCATAAATGATTTTGATTTATCTTCATCTTCTATTTCTTTTCTTTTATCTTGATTAATAAAACTCTAAGAAAAAAATTCTTGAAGTTAAAATCAGATTTTATATTCACTGACTATTCTTTCTCAGATACTGAATGCCTAGCAATGCTTCCTATAGACACTATAAAAAGGTGGTATACTATTATACTGATACTATATTATTAAATTTATCAGTTAAACTCTTTTAAAAATTAAAAGTTTATTTTTTAAAATGGTACGTGTGCAAAATTATAGAATTATTTTAGAAATCATACCAAAAAATCCAAGTGCATTAAATGGAATTTCCATATCAAAGTATAGAAAGATCCTTTACATGCATAATATATATTTCACATTATTCATTTCCATTAAATATTTGCAGCTCTAGCCTAATCTTTGGAGTTCTTGCTGGAAATAAACTTAGACATTCAAAGTGTATAAAATATATTTATTATAACTTCTTCACAAAGACATAAACCTAAAATGGACCTTTGTTGTAAACTTTTCTTAGGAGAGGCCAGTTTGATTCTGAAATCAAGTACAGATTTCTATTAAGGAGGTGCTTATTTTCAGTTAATAAGCCATAAAGCCCAGACCAAGATGAAGTTTTTATCTGGCCAGAAAAACTGGCAGGATAGTTTCTCAGAACATTCTGTGATCGCATTTAAACCTTGTGATCATCACTGCCAAAAACAAAAAGCACAAACTAGCTCTCTGCCAGTTTATAACTCAAAAGCACACAAGTTTATATATTTCAAAATAGAAACATTTCCTTTATATATCCTGCTATCTAGACCAGCACTGTCCAATAGAAACATAATCCAAGTCACAAATATAGTTTTGTATTAGCCACATTAAAGAGCAAAAAGAAACAGATGAAATTAGTAACACATCTATTTAACCCAACATATCCAACATACGATCATTTCAACATTAAGACAAAAAAAAATTATTAATGAAATATTTTACTTTTTTTGGTACTAAGTTATTGGAATCTGGTGTGTATTTTACACTTACAGCACATCTCAATTCGGACTAGCCACATTTCAAGCGCTCAATAGTACATGTGGCTAGTGGCTATCGAGTTGGACAGCGCAGATCTAGACCAGTCCTCTCAAGTCTCAAGCTCCCAGACAAAATCAATGTACGATTTTGAGCAAATGACTGGAACATAAAGATAATCCTAATTAATTTGTGGTATAAATGTAGGCTATGTTAGAACCTAAGTTAAAAAAAAAAAACAGTAAAAAAAAAACCAAAATAAAAGCAGAGACAAATGAAAATATTTCCTTTGTGACCACTGTGTTAAGAGACATTAACTTTATAAAACAAAGAAACACTGCACTTTGACCATTCCCTCTGGAAGAAAAAAATATATTTTAAGTAGTTATGGTGTATAAATGCAAACCAGAAATAAATGCTGAGAAGACACGCTCCTTAGAACAATACATACAGACACAGTGAATCATTCAGATCAAGAATGATCTTGGTGTGTGTGTGGAAATAAATACACACTGGCACAAACACATAGAAAGTCTAGAAAGATACAACTCACTTTTAACAGTGGTCATCTCTGGGACTGAAACTGGAAGTGAAGGAAGCCTTTCAATTCTATTTTACATACTTGTTTTTTTATAGTAAGCATGCTATACTCATAATTTTTCTCAATTTAATAAAGCACTGATGGAGCTAGTGCTGTTGTACATCTAACCCATGTGTATTTCTTGTTACTGTAGCAGAACTAGGGCTGGTCCAGGGGAAGGAAACTGAAAGCACTTAAGAGGATGGGTTGAGAGTGGATGCTAGGACAGAAACAAATAGCGTTAAGGACTGAGAAGTCTAGAGAGTAATGATGGTTAAAGATAAAGTTAATGTGGACTTAGACAAGAAAGAGCAGTCTATCCCTGAAGCTTCGAGAGTTTAGTATAAACAGAAAGAAGTGTTACTTTACACATTAGTAAAAATGAATTTCATTGCCCATTTCTTCCTCAGATGCAACAGTCAAAGAATAAAGCCTACATAATCCAGTGAGAAATTGAACACTACTCTTCACAACTACTAACCTGGCAAAAGTGCTGTACTAGTCCATTCGGTAATGTTGGTAATGCTAAATCTGGATTATTACCTGAGGTTTACTGAATACACACTGGTCAGTAACAGTGAAAGACTCTACAATAAATCCAGTATCTACACATTAGTGTTACGAAACTGATAGCAAGCTGACAGCAACATCAGAAAGCTCTTGTAACGTCTGAGCTTTACCACATGCCTGGCCCTAACCTGTGGGCTTTTAAGAAATTACCTCAGTCTTCCTACTCACTCTAAATTGTTGAAGAAACCGAGGCTTAGAGATGTCAAGTGACTTGCCCAAGGTGACAAAGCCAGCAGGATGTGACAAAGCTGAGATCTGAGTCTGATTCCAGAGTCCACCCTTACATTCAGTGTGCTATGTATGCTACAGCCACAGATTTATATTAACGACTACCCACATTTGACACTATAGGGGATACAGGTTTCTGTAACAAACACTTTTCATAAACTGTCAAAACTGAATACTGTTCAAAAGTTCGGTTGCTTTGTTACCAAATATGCACAACTGGTTTGTACAAACACTTCCATTTTCTCTTCTTTCATTATAATCCAATAAAAAGTTGTACCTTGTTAAAAACATCCTTGCTAATGGCATCCATGTTCCACAGACACATTCTCTCTCTTTGTACTAGAGCTGCTTCTTTCTGCCGCCATTCTTCTTCACGTTGCCTTAGCTCTGATACTGCTGTTTGTGCTTTGGCATGTTCCTGATCCAAGGACTCAGAGTTATGCAGGGCTAAGCTACCAAGTTTTTGCTGAGCTTCAGCGAGATTCCATTTGCATGCCACAGAGCTCTTCACAAACTCTTTCTGCTTTTGACAAGCCAGTTCAATTCCATGGCTATACATCTGGATAAAAAACAATAGTGTAAGAAATGAAGAAGGCAAGGGGTATGTTTATGCAGCACAATTCAATTTTCTTTTAGTCAAGCATTGCTGTACAATATTTTTGATACATATGCACTCTGCCTTCTGTGTATGCAGTTATACTTTTATATTATAGGTCTTCTTTCATCAACTAGAGTCTAAACACTTCTTTGTTAATCTATACTGCTCTCCGACAACTAACAGCAGCAAAAAGCCCGATAATTAGCACAATGTTCTGCCTATAGCTGGTGCTCAAGAAACATTTGATTTACAGCTTCACAGTCCTAAAACAGCAGAATAATGAGAACAAAAGCTTCAATCTAGTCCATCACCTTACAACTCAACATGCTGAAAACCAGATCTTTGGAGTTTTGTTCTGGAAGTTCCTCACTGCAAAGAACCTTTTATTTAGAAGTAATTACTTCTTGGTTTCTATTTTCCTTCTATATTATCCCAATCCCTGGTGATCTGAGAAGTTCTTATATGGGGAATTTCTGTTTATAACTGACTCGATCAGACAGACAGACATTCTTTAACTTAATCCTAATCAAAATAGGCAAAATTATAAAAACAAAAAAAAATCCACCAAAAACTGGTCCATCCTGGTGGCTGACTGTTTGAATCAGAAGCAACAGTAATTAGAGTAAAAAAAAATTTTTTTTTAAGGTTTTTATTTATCTGACAGAGAGACAGAGAGAGCACAAGTAGGCAGAGTGGCAGGCAGAGGGCGAGGGAGAAGCAGGCTCTTCGCTGAGCGGGGAGCTGGACGCAGGGCTCGATCCCAGGACCCCGGGATCATGACGTGAGCCGAAGGCAGACGCTTAACCAACTGAGCCACCCAGGCGCCTCAGTAATTAGTTTTAATATTTACGAAACCACTACACTTACAGCACTGTGATGGGTGTTTAATTCCTTATATTCTTCAGCTCTATAAAACAAAAGCTGAAGGCACATTCTTTATGACTTCTCAGCCAAAATGCAGATCAATTTTAAACTATTCAGAACAATTTTACTTCAATCTGTTCCCTAATCTGCGTCACTCCTCAAGCACTTATAATTTCATACCTCAGTTATATACAGTCTTTCTCATCTGAAGTCATTCTCCACTCTACTAGACTTGGAGTAATTTCTCCAAAAAACAAATCTGATAATTTTACACATTCTTAGAGTCTTGGGATAACGCACAAATTGTGGCATGGTCCTTCATGATAAAGCACAAATTCTGTGGCATGGTCCTTCATGATCTCACTTCCTATTATCTATCTAGACTCAGTTCTAGTTACTCTCCTACTTGTTTGCTTATTCTTTCCATCCCCACTCCTTTCAATGTGGCAACCCCTATCCCCATTCCAGACTCGGGCATCACTTCCTTAAGTTTTCTCTAATCCCTTCCCTTCCTGCTCAAGGTTTGCATACTTCTTAGCGGTGCTTTCACACAATATTGTGCTTATTTGTTTACTCAACCAGCAGCTTCTCGAGGGGCTAGAACTCCATAAATCTCAGATGCATAAATGATTCCCCACTTCTTGGAACAGACTAGTGGTGGCAAAGAATTCTGAGGCAAGTAGCATGAAAGGCCTCTACTTTTCAGCTGAATCTTAGATTTCTATTGTGGCAAATGTGGACACTGTTGCTATTCAGGTGATTTATTCATTTAGCAGGTTTGGAGCCCAGGTACCACAAGGCCCTAACCAACCACGTAAAATATTTATTTTTATTTTTTGCTATCTTAGATAGGATCAAGAATAACTGTAGCCTAGCTATACTTAAGAAGGGGCCAGGAAAAGGAGAATAATAAAGCTATAAAATTTGTTTATTGTAAGACAAAGCTATACTAAGAAAGGCAATACGGACAAATGAAAATACCTTGCATTTTCAAAATTATGTGGGAACAAATATTCATGTCTCAAATCAAACAGAGAAATCTTATTTCCAAATTCTAAAAATGATTCATGTTAAATTCTTCTCCGCAGACTACACAGACAACATCTGGCCATTTGAGCAAACTATCCAACATATACTGAGATGATTAAGAAAAAAAAAAAATCACATTTTACCTATGAACACACTGAGGTTTCAGAGGAACATTAAACATAATCATATTTTATTTTATTTTTTTTAAAAGATTTTACTTATTTATTTGACAGAGAGAGACCCAGTGAGAGAGGGAACACAAGCAGGGGGAGTGGGGGAGAGAGAAGCAGGCTTCCCGCCGAGCAGGAAGCCCGATGCGGGGCTCGATCCCAGGACCCTGGGATCACAACCTGAGCCAAAGGCAGATGCTTAACAACTGAGCCACCCAGGCGCATCTAAACATAATAATATTTTAATGAACATGAATTCTAAAAGGAACTGCTGGCATTAGGTTTACTAGTGTAACTTTACATTAAAAATGCTTGAACATGATCTCTAAATTCTGAGTTGCCTTTTACTTTAACTGGGTATCAGAACTATACACCACATATGACACTAATTTGTCTAGATTCCCCATGTCTGGTAAAATTAAACCAGAGCTGTTTTTGAAAAAAATTATAAAATGTTTATCATTTTAATTAAATATTTTATTCTTTCCAAATATTCCAATCCAAAAACTTAAGTCCTAAAGTCAGCCAGACAAGTAAGTGGGTTATAAACACATGAACTTAGGATTAGTAATCAACTTTGCAAATTTTAACACCAAAGGTAGTGTCAGCCAGATGGTTTTACATTACATCACAGGATGGGAAGTGCAGCAGGTAGGAAAAAACACTGTACTAGGAGCCAGAAGAGGGTTCTAGTTTTAATTCTGCCACTAACTAGCTATAGGATCTGAGAGAAATCATTTTTAATGAGAAGGTAAGCCTATTTGCTCATAAAATCACTTTCAGCTAAATAAGCTTACAATTCCAAGTGCACAAGTAAAAAATATACAGATCTTTAAAAGTTTGTTTGTTTGTTTTAGTAATCTCTACACCCAACATGGGGCTCAAATCCAGGACGTGGAGATCAAGAGTGGCATGCTCCTCTGACTTAGCCAGCTGGGTATTTTCCAGCTTAGATATTTTCTAAGTTTAGTGTTTCTCTTAGGTTACTTTTGTGATTGAACTACAATGCATGGAAATTCTGGAGACCTCTTATTCTCTTCATATGCCTTCAAAACTGACAACCGCAGCTGCTGTTCATATTTTTTCCCTCCATAACACATTCATTATATGCTCATATAACACATTTTGTATATAAAGATGATACTAGCGATCCATAATTAGGGGGTGACTACTGACCTATCAACTCTTTCTGGCCTCCTAAAAAATGTCTTGCACTTTCCCACAGACTGGCTGAAGTACAGTCTATGGTTATGAAACAGCATTTTTCTCCGTGAAGCCAACTAACCCAATGAGATGGGCATAGGACCGATGGCCTTACACTTAATTGGCAAACGATTTAAATAACTCATCTTCACTAACAGCTAGCAAGATGAGCCTAGAGAAAAACTGTTAATTCAGTTAAGCTCTTAGGTACCCCGTTTTGCAAGAAGCCAAGAAGGCAGAGAGACACCTATAACCCCTTTCACTTAACATGTTAGTGTTTAGTCTGTGTTCCTGAAATATACTTCCAAACACACTCAGATTAGGAGAAAAACCAGGACAAGGTGATAAGAGTATGTAAGCACTAACACAGGACCCAGAAAAATCCTAAATGGTGTGTCCTTTGGATAAGTTTCAGATGAAAGAAGGCTGGATTGAAAACCACAAGTAGCACCAAGAATCTGAGGAAGTCTGAAGGAAAAGGCAAACGTGTGCCTGTATGTTGTCACTGGAAAATGATATGAAGCAAAACATAACCGGACGGGAAAAATGGTCACGTTAAGGAGACAGATTTACACCAGCATCAAAAGCGAGGTTTACAGAATTTATTCAGATGTCAGAAGTCAGTGAAATTGGATCCTAAATCTGCATGAAGTCAGGAGCTCAGTAAATTACCGAAATACAACCAACCAGTCACTGTTCCTAACTATTAACCGTCCACAAGTATCAGAGCCTTCAGCAGAATAACGCGCTCGGATAAAGGCACGCACAAGGGGACAAAGGGTCAACGTTATAACGTTAGCCGCCCCAAATCTGGGTGCTGTCAGAAGCGGGGTGGGGGAGGGGGAGGGGGAGGAACGTCTTCCAAGGATGGGAAGGCATTATTAGCCAAGGTGAAAAGGTGTACGTGGAGGTGGAGGTTGGGAATATATGGCCAGCCCCTCTTAGAAGCCCTCAGAAGATGCTACAATAGCCGTGGGATGAGCATCAAGCTCCGGACCCCCGGGAGTGAAATGGGGGCGCAGAACAGGGCACAAGGAGGGTCGCAGAGACAGGGGACTCTGGGGGCCTGGCGACGGCACCTCCCCATCCCCTCGCCAAACGCGGGACCCCTCTCACCTGCGCGCCGCCGCCCGGCAGCTGCGGGCAGCGGGGAGAACTGGGGGACACGTCCAAGTCACTCTCTTCCTCAGCCTCACCCTCGGCCCGAGGGAGGCTCCAAGGTCCTGGCGGTGGCCACGGCTGCTCCATGTCCCGCGGCCCCCAGCCCTAGAACCTCCACTGCCAACGGACTTGGCGTGAGTTGAACCTGCTGCGCGGAGCCAGCCGCCCCAGCCGGCCGGGGCCGTTACCCAGAATCCCTCCGCTGGCCGCGATGCCGACGCACACCCCGCGCTAGCCTGGGCCGCAGACGGCGGAAGAAGACGGACTCGCTTGGCGACGTCACTTCCTGTTTGGGGGCGGGGCCGGGAGGGTGGTCCCGGGGCCTGCGGGAAGGGGGTGGGTCTGGGGCTCGCGTTTGAAATTCCGTTCCCTGAAGCCTTTGAGTACTGCCAATTTACCCCTCAGGGCACTGCGGGTCACGTAGTGTCAAGTTGTTGTTGCCTAGTGTTCCCTACGCTGGGCGCCTTGGTCTCGGACGTCGAGAGATGCGGTGTCTACTTTGCAAGTTGTTTACAAACTGCGACTCCTTTCTTTACGTTCATCTCTAAATTAGGGTTTCTGAGGCCGGGGTGGGCGGAAAATAGGGCAGAATTTTGAAAAGCAGGGCAAAGTTTTCTCTCATTTCGAGTTCCAAGCTGCAGGAATTTTGCGTGAGTTGGCTGGGAGGCGGGCGCCGAAGATGAACGACCCAAGCAAGCGCGGCTCGGAAATGCAGACGAGGGTGGGTGATCGCGGACCAAGCCGAGGTAGCCCGTGTCCCACGCATCTCCTGCAGTCCTGAAGGCCTGCGCTCTCGTTGTGCCCTTTGTTGAGGAGAAGAAACACACCCAACGTGCGCAAGGTCACACGTTTAAGGAGAAGACGTGTGATGAGCCCGGGGGTCTAACTTCAAAACGTGTATGTTCAACAGTACCAAGCTGCTGCCCTGCTCATAATTACAGAGACCCGAATAAAAACGAGACGCCATTTTTTCAGTCTCATAGCCTGACAAACTTTGAGGTTTGTCAATACCGAGTGTTGACAAGATGTGAGGAAATGCTGTTAAAGAGATTGTGCTTTGTGTAACCTTTCTGGAGGGGTGATTTGACAATATCGGTGGCTTAAGGGCTTTGATTCAGCAATTTCATTACCAGGAAATTATCCATCGGTTATTTTTGTACCAATATCCAGTGATTTATCTACAAAGATGTTTATTGCAGCAGTTTGCAGGAAAAACCAGGAAACTAATTGCCCATTAGTAGAGGAACTTAAATAAATTATGGTATATTAATGCAGTACGATATCAGTCTTTAAAAAGAGTAGATATGTATGTGCTGATATAGAAAATCTCCAGAATGTTGAGTTTAAAAAAAATTTGCAGAATTAGATATATTTGTGTGTGTACGTATCTATAGCTATCTACCTATCAAGAGCGAATGATCCAATCTGTGTAAAAATACGTGCATGTGTATAGAAAATTCCTGAGAGAGAGCAAGAATTCTTAATGATGGTAGATCAGGCTGGGAGGAAAGTTTCTGAGTTTCTTTGCTTTCTGTTTTTAGTTTTCCTGTATTATACGGTTTGAATATTTTTCAATGAATATGTTATACCTTAATAATTATTACAAATTACAGTTCAGAAGCACTGTGGGGCTAGGGAAAGCCACAGGAGTTAAAACAGAAAGGGAGGAAGAAAAGGAAAACACTTTTTTCTCTTTGTTTCCATGAAGGCACAAAGTGCTTTGAGCAGTGCCTTAGCTTGAAGTAAGCTCTATATAAATGTTAAGTATTGTTTTATGGGTTTTCCTCCTACCTGTCTCACTACTTCCCCTCAGGCTCTTTTGCAGGCTCCTCCCCTTCTAACGGACCTCTAATTTTAAAATTCCTCAAATTTTGGCCAGTGGGGAGGACCTTATCTGTTCTTGTGGCTTTAAATAACATCTGTGTTTTGACAGCTTCCTAATTGAAATCCAAGCCCTGACCTAATGTACTTCAGACTCATTTGTCTACCTGCTGACTTGACATCTCTCTTTTTTTTAAAGTAGGCTCTACACCCAATGTGGAGCCCAATGTGGTGCACCCCCGACATCTCTCTTTGAATGCATATTTTAAATTTAACATTTCCAAAAAAACCCTCTTGATCTCAATCCTTCCCCAAACTTGTTCCTATTTTCTCCATATCAATAAATGGCACCACCACCAATCCCAAAAGAGACCAGCCTTAATTTATCGCCCTCCTTCCTCTCCCATGTCTGAACCAAAGTAAATTTTGTTGTTGTTGTTTTAAAGATTTTATCTATTCATCTGACAGAACAAGAGAGCACAAGTAGGGGAGTGGCAGGCAGAGGGAGAGGGAGAAGCAGGCTCCCTAAGGATCAGGGAGCCCGATGCGGGGCTCGATTCCAGGACGCTGGAATCATGACCTGAGCCAAAGGCAGACGCTCAACCATTTGAGCCACACAGGCACCCACAAATTTTGTTATTTTTACTCTCAAATACATCTTGAAGCTGTCTACTTCTTTCCAGTTGCAATGCTTCCTCACTAGCCCAGACACCATGATCCTTCCTCGGGTCTACTACAGTAGTCTTCAATGTCTCTGTTCCATTTTTGCTCATTACAAATCTCTTCACAGTTACCAAAGAGACTTAAAAATATATGTATATAAATCAGATCATGCCACACCCCTGCTGTATCCATTAAATGCTTCCAGCACAAATAACAGAAACCCCAGCTAATAGAAACTTAAACCATAAGGAAAATTATTTTCTGTTTAGCAAAAAGGGTGAAGATCAGTGTTCTCAGGATTGGTTTAGCAGTTTGTTGATGTCATCAAGGACTCAAGTTCTTTCTATCCTTTCCACCATCCTAAGTCTGTTGACTCTCATCTTCAGGCTTATGGTTGCAGGACGGCTGCCATAGCTCTGTACATTGCATCAAAACAGGACAACAGCCAGACAGGAAGAGAAGAGGCAAAAAGCTTTATTTACTTGGGGCTCTACTATCAGAAATAAAAATGTTTCTCAGAAGCTTCCAGTGACTTCCCCTTATATCTCAATGTTCAGAATTGGCTTAAATAAATTATGATTCACTCCCTGAAATGAGACGCATTGCCACCCAAGCAAAACTGGAGCTCCATTAGCAAGGAAGAAGAGCTTATGGCTATTAGGTAAGCAATCACATTGTCTGCTCTAACTTTGAGTTCCTATGCTATCTAATGCCAGCCAACTCTTCAGTGTCATCTCTTAACCTCCTCTGTCCCCTGCCCAGGTCTCTCTTCATATGCTCACTGGCCTCCTTCCGTTTCTCAAACATATCAATTCCCTCCCTGACTCCTGGCTCTTTACATTTTGTTGCTCCCTTCACCGGGATTTCTCTAGTACTTTAAAAGCCCTGCTATCGGTCGTGCTTTTCTTTTTAGATCTTAGATCAAATGTCATCCTCTTAGAGAGGCTTATCTGTCCACTGGCTCTAAATTAGGTTCTTATTCCCTCTCCAACCTATAAACTGCTCTCTCACCCCCCAACACCTGGATTCCTTCCTAGTAATTGTCATACGGTTATTATCTTATGTTCACTTATTATCTTCCTCCCACCCAGGATGTAAAGCCCACAGAGGCATAGACTGTTTCTTGTTCACCGTTGTACCTCCATGGTCTAGAATAGTACCTAGCACATGGTACGTATTCAATAAATACGTGTTGAATGGATGAATAAAGAATGAATGAATGAATGGAAACAAGGATAAAAGGAAAGGTGTGGGATTAAATAAAGACAGAAGAGATGGACTCTCCCCCTGCAACATGGGTCGTGTTCTCACCAAAACCGTGAAGAAGGTGGCCTGAGTCATCACTGAGAAGTTCTACACACATCTGGGCAATGACTTCCGCACCAACAAGCGTGTGTGTGAGGAGATTGCCATCATCCCCAGCAAGAAGCTCCGAAGCAAGATCACAGGCTTTGTCACACACCTGATGAAGTGGATTCAGAGGGGCCCAGGGAGAGGAATCTCCATCAGGCTGCCGGAGGAGACAGAAAGGAGGGATAATTATAGGCCCGAGATCTCTGCCCTGGATCAGGAGATCCTGACACTAAGGAAATGTTGAAACTCTTGGACTTTGGCAGTCTGTCCAAACTGCAGGTCACTCAGCCTGCGCTTGGGATGAATTTCAAAACACCACGTGGAGTTGTTTGAATATTTTTACTGTGCTGTAATAGCTTCAATAAACCTTGGACAACAACCTTAAAAAAAAAGAGTGAAAAAGGAATGGAAAGAGATATATTTTCATAGGAGAATAAAGGGTGGATATAATGACATCATCTTAGCCATTGCTGACTTTGGGGCCTAAATCCTTCGCTCGAGTTCAGCGGATACTTTTTACAAGTCTTGGAACTAAATCAGACTCTTTTCTGCTTTCTTAAATTGGATCATAAATATAATTCCTAGGAAACAGCTTTGGTCATAATTAGCCTACTGCTCCCATGGCCATAGAATTAGTCAGCTGACACTCAAAGGAGCAAATTAGTTTTTCCTGAGTAGAAATTACTTTAAAATGAAAGGATATGGACTATGTAGTCCAGAACGCCCAAGGGCAGTCCTTGTGGAAGGGTTTGTGTGGTATTAAGTAAGATTGAGCCTACAAAAGCCAGTGAATCAAAGTAGAAGCCAAAGAGTAACATATGAGTCTGACTCATAAACTCTAATAAAGTTTGTGAAATAGATCGCATGCGTGAGTCCAGATCTCAAATGACTTCAAGATTGTTAAAAGCTGTTCAACTGCAATTTAATTCCTTCCTTGGATGCTTTCCTGATACTTGGGGAAAATTCTGGAGAAGTATGAGCACTTAAAGAAATACTCAGATTGACAGCTCCTGTTTTGGATATTCATGCAGAGGCCACTATTCTTATAATACAGTGCTTCTTTTTTCCTTAAGTGAGTTTCCCTCTGAATCACTTGGAAAATATTATGTATCTCAATAATTTTCTTAATCTGCATTTGAGGTAAATAGATCCACCATGTTTTCTCTTTAAGTGTCTATAAGAATTCCACTGAAGGGCATTTCATAGTGATACTACTAAAAGTCCTCTTGATGGGCTATTTTAGGACAGAAGGAGGTTCACATAAGGCCATGATTGCTTTTCTTAAGTATATGTTAAATTCTTTTTTTTATTTTTTTTAAAGATTTTATTTATTTATTTGACAGAGAGACAGCGAGAGCAGGAACACAAGCAGGGGGAGTGGGAGAGGGAGAATCAGGCTTCCTGCTGAGCAGGGAGCCCGAT